ATGTTTTCACTTATTCATACAAGGACACCCCCATTCTACATGATGCCAAGGGTTCAAACTAAATACTGAATGTTTACACAAATGTCAGCTCTCAATATATTGTAGACGGTGCAAGCTTGAATATCTGGACAGTTTTTGAAAGATTAAAATGGGTGTGTCCTTGAAAAACAGCCCCCGTCTAAATGTAAACCAAACAATCCAAACCTTTGAATGTTGATTATGACGGGTAGTCATCCAATACTATACTGAACATATCTTATATGATATTACCTGAGGCATACCATTATCCAAGAGGTACCAAATAACATATTGTTTTTCATTTTTTGCAATTTTGTGAAGAAATATTTGCCCCAATGTGGTGTGATATGTGAAATTCTACCATGGCTACGTGATGAATGTTAGACCGAATTGATAGCCTCTAAATTAATCATTTGAAACCTCACGCTACGCGTTCGGCTTCAAATGAAATTTAGAGACTATAAATTCGGTCTAACATTCATCTAATTTCCAAACACAGTACGTTTATCTCCTAATTTTGGATATGGTTTTGCTGATAATTTATTCAAAATAAAATGGAGGCTATGTACATCAGGAAGCTAAAAAACTAGTAACTGTTCAACATTTAATTCATCTCAACTATTAAATATAAATTATTAAAACCCTAATAACAACAGCACAACCTTATTCCCTTCTCATCTGTAAAGTCTGTGCAGCTTAATCTCACACTGTATACTCTACCCTGTAATCTCTATTTTGGGTCAGTTCATTATGCCAGACAGGTAAATGCCGCGTGTTGTTTTAGCTAATTGTAGGGTACTGGGCTGTAGGGGGTATGGGCTGTAGGGGTTTTGGGAGACAAATATGACACTTGCCCGTTCAGAGTATCAGATCACCTGCCTTGCTCTATATCCATAAGTATGCTGGTAAAGGAACGTTATATATCAATCTTCATTATGGTATCCCAAATGGAAATTAGCTAATAAAAAGGACATTACCTCTTACCAAAGACTATTCGAGGACATTATGTATTGTCGGAATTTTTCTCATGTAGATTTTAAACAACCAGACAGTATAGATTACTTCAATGATATGATAAGCCCTGCTCTACTGTATGCTTCCTCAAATTCTATACCTCACCGTAACTACAAACCATACCTAAACCTTTTGGGAAATCTAATTGCCTAAATGCTGTTCACTACGATATGCGAGTAGCCAGGCGTGCATGGATCAATTCCGGTAAACCTCGCGAACCTGAACAGCGTTTGGCCTATAAAGATGAGAAAAGAAAATTCCGATGCTTGTTTCAGAAGTCAAAAAAGATCCCATAAAAAGGAAATGTTAAAAGACTGACTGACTGAGTTTAGTTTTACGCCGCTTTTAGCAATATTCCAGCAATATCACGGCGGGGGACACCAGAAATGGGCTTCACACATTGTGCCCATGTGGGGAATCGAACCCGGGTCTTCGGCGTGACGAGCCAACGCTTTAACCACTAGGCTACCCCACCGCCCCAAATGTTAAAAGAAATTGAATTATCTGCTTAATTGGATTGGAATGGTAATATCAATATTCAAAGGTAAAAATGATAACACCGACCCTCGAAACTACAGTGGTATCACACCAACATCTTGCCTTGGTAAACTATTTGAAAAGCTCTTGATCAAACGAATTGAAAATAAATTGCTTAAATCAAATCCGGACTTTCCTGATAAGTTACAATTTGGATTTCGAAAAAGAGCATGGAGCCATAATGTCTGTATTTACTCTCATGGAGAGTATACAATACTATAACCATAGAGATTCCCCTGTCTTTACAGCCTTTCTCGACAATGCAAAAGTATTCGACAGAATTTGGCATGATGATTTATTCTATAAGCTTCATGAACTTGGTATTAGAGGTAATACATGGAAACTGTTACATCACTATTATACCAATAGCCAATCATTTGTTGCATACTACTGCGAGAGGGTCAGAAATGTACTTGGTCAAACAAGGTGTTGGACAAGGTAGGGTTATATCTCTTGTTGTTTTTTTTCTCATTTTTACTAATGACCTAATTACATCTTTAAGAGAAACTGGCTGTGGTATCCGTGTCTTTGGTATGGACGTTCCAACTGTCTTGAGGTGAGGTGAGGTGAAAGTGGGTTTTACGTCGTGATTGAGAATATTTCGCTCATATGACGACGTGCATGCGTGTGTATGTGCGGCTGCTTGTACTAGCCCAGACTTAAGCTGGTTTTATAGTGCTAGCCCACTGAGATACCATACCGCAATGAAGCATGAATACCCCACTCAGACACATTATACTGACTCCGAGCCGACCAGTCCTTGTTGTACCCATTAATGCCGAGCGCCAGGCAGGGACCGACAAGACCACATTTTAACGTCGTTTGGTATGACGCGGTCGGGGATCGAACCCGCGACCTTCCGCTCCCCGGGGGGACGCTCTAACCACTACACCACGCAGGCGGTCTCCAACTGTCTTGCTTGCTGACGATACTACACTCATAAGCACATCCCCTAATGGCCTACAGGTATCACTAGAAATTGTCTCTTCATAGCTTCTAAATGGCGTCGAACATGTAACCCATCAAAAAGTACCATCATCGTTTTTAGCAAACAAAAAAGGCTATGATGTAAACGCCCTCTCTAGCATTGGTAACATCCCAATCCCCTTATCAGAATCTACCGTATTTGGGGGTGTATTCTTTACAAGTAACCTCTCAACAAAAAGTAGAAGTGAAAAGTATTGTCAGAAAGCAAGACAGAATGTAAACTCACTTAGATCTATTAGACTGAATGAGTCTGGCCTACATCCGATCACTTATGTTAAAATGTGGCTCAGAATGATTCTTAAAACTAGTCTCTATGGCTGTGAAGTATTACCAAACATCAAAGTCCTAAAGGCTGACACCTTTGAACAAACACAAAGGTACTTTGCTCGTCTTGTACAATATCTACCATTGCAAATTTGGGATTTTGGCCACTAATTGGGTATATCGATAAATGAAAACTGCTATTTCTTGGGCGACTATGTAACACTGTCGGTGTTCTCCATGTTTTTCATGCAACTCATGTTGAACGTGCTGTTCAAAAGGACCAACCCTATAAAATGCACCCCGAAACCACAGAACAATATGTTCAAATGACGTTATTTATTTATTTTTGAAAGAACCAATTAGTACGAAATCCATATTCAGAGTCGACTGTACAATTCTGACTCCTGTGTTTATATACACCAGCTCAAATGTTAAGCACCACCAACTTCAACTTTAACAGATGACCCAAAACACAACATTGAGGTACATCCGGTAAATACAGTTTAGTGACTGAGTGAGTGAATAGGATTTTACACCGCTTTAAGTAATATTCCAGTAATATCAGGGTGGGGAACAAATACAGTTTAAATCAAGGTTATGTTGTAAAGATTTCACATGCAAAACCCACAAGCAAGTTGTGCATGTGCCACATGACAGTTGCTGATATATGGTAACGTTAACCCTGTGCATGAGTTAGTGAGTCTAGTTTTACACCGCACTCAGCAATATTCCAGCTATATGGCGTCTGTCTGTAAATAATCGAGTCTGGGCCAGACAATCCAGTGATCAACAGCATGAGCATTGGTCTGCTGGGAACCGATGACATGTGTCAATCAAGTCAGCGAGCCTGACAACTCGATCCTGTTAGTCGCCTCTTACGACAAGCATGGGTTACTGAAGGTTCATTCTAACCCGGATCTTCACGGGTAGTAACACCACTAGTTCAAGAATGCAATATTAGTCGCATCTTACGACAAGCAGGAGTTGCTGAAGATGATTCTTACCTGGATCTTCAGGGGTCAAATGGGAAAAGTAGTTTCCAACAATTCTGGTTCAGTTATCTCATTTATTAGTCTATGAATTACAAGATATATAGGCTACAGTACACACAAGATATATAGGCTACAGTACACACAAGATATATAGGCTACAATACGCACAAGATATATAGGCTACAGTACACACAAGATATATAGGCTACAGTACACACAAGATATACCACACAAGATATATAGGCTACAATACACACAAGATATATAGGCTACAGTACACACAAGATATATAGGCTACAATACACACAAGATATATAGGCTACAATATACACAACATATATAGGCTACAATACACACAACATATATAGGCTACAATACACACAAGATATATAGGCTACAATACACACAACATATATAGGCTACAATACACACAATACATAAGGTTATTGTTCATCCAATAATTTGGAAAAAACTAGTGTTGGGAATTGGTTAAAATCTCATAACTGAAGATTGGTTCATTACAACTGATCTATCATCAAACATAACTGCTTAGCATCACTTATAAAATGTTCCTGGTTATGTTTGTTAATGCACCAAAAACTGTAGAAAACAAACATGCAGTTCTTTGGGTTTTGTTTTTGCATACAGCATAAAATGCATTTGAAAATTTCACATCTTTAAACATAAATTTCTTGGGAGTCTTTAAGATAAACTATCGCGTTTGGTTCTTAAATTACATTTAGCAGTCTTAAATCAACGATAAAGGACAGCAAAATTGAAAACAGAGTAGCTTTATCTTTATTTAATTCAGTCATGACTTGGAACGAGTGCTTATGAAATGTAACAGACAAAACCAGCCTTGCGAAATATATTGTTAATGCAAATAAGTGTCCCAAAATTGTTTGTGTTCGATTACAAGAAAACATGATCGATTTAGTCACTGTGACCAATCTTCGATTATTTTAATTAATCGGACCACCAAAGGAAAAAAGCACAACAAAATATTTCAACGACGATAAGAAAGTTGTACTAAATTACTACTGTTACTATGCCTGGGAATTTATAAAATAAATACACTGTTACACAATGCCAGTCTGTCAACCAGGTGTGAAACAGTCTCCGTTAAAAATGGCCAAGTCATTTGATCATCAACTCAGATTCGCATCATTCAGTTTTGGAAACAATCTAACAGAAAAAGGATGCTCTATTAACACTTAACAAGACGGAATGGACACACAACACTGCACTACTGCTACAATATATGACCAGCCAATACAAGTGGCGTGTTTAAACATCTCACACATCAGCTAACATCAACTAGATTTCCTACATATTTCCAGGTTACCTTATTACAGGTAGTAGTCTGTCAGCCAGGTATAAAGATGACTAACGAAGTGATCTGACTACAGGTAGTACAGTCTGTCAGCCAGGTGAACAGATGACTAACGAAGTGATATGACTACAGGTAGTACAGTCTGTTAGCCAGGTGTACAGATGACTAACGAAGTGATCTGACTACAGGTAGTACACAGTCTGTCAGCCAGGTGTACAGATGACTAACGATGTGATATGACTACAGGTAGTACAGTCTGTCAGACAGGTGTACAGATGACTAACGACGCGACCTGACTACAGGTAGTACAGTTTGTCAGACAGGTGTACAGATGACTAACGACGTGACCTGACTACAGGTAGTACAGTCTGTCAGCCAGGTGTATTGACGGTTCCCCGTGTAGGCTCTGCCCAACTAGAGAGGCCAGTTTGTGAGCATACTGACAGGGGGCAGGTACTCGGATGGTCCTCTGAAACACAGAGGGCATTTCATTAATGGACAAAGGGTGAGTGAGTGTGTTTAGTTTCACGCCACTTTTAGCAATATTCCACCAACATATTGGCGGGGAATTCTTTACATTGCACTAGCAGTAAATGTAGCTTGAAAATCATAAAATATATTGCATAATTTGTTCAGCTTCTGTATACAATGATTGTTCCGCGACAAATATCTGTATACAATGATTGTACAATTAGTCAGTGAGAGAGTAAAGTTTTACATCACTTTTAGCAATATTTCAGCAAAATCACGATGGGGGACACCAGAAATGGGCTTCACACATTGTACCCATGTGGGGAATCAAATTGGGGTTTTTGGCTTGATGAGCGAACGCTTTAACCACAAGTCTATCCCATAGCCCCCTGTACAATTAGTAGTACTCTTAGCTGACACTGACCGGCATGTTGTAGTACAGGTGGGTCAATTTGAAGGTAAATCTCTGCAGGTACTCTCGAAGAAGACCCGAGTTGTGAAAGATGACAGTGTAGTGGGTTGGCGACAGCGTGCCCCTTGAGTCGCTCACCATGAAGAAGTTGTGACTGTCAAAGAACAAGGTGAAGTGAAATGGGGTTTTATACTGCATTCAAGGTAAATGCCCTTATACAACGACAAGCATTCGTTTGTGTCTGTTTGGGTTCAAATGAGAACAATGAATGATCAAATAACTTGAATTAGGGATAGGTGCACAAAACATAAATGATATGTATGGTCCTGAAAACGATGTACCCAACAGCATCTGAAATCTCACACTTTAGAAGCTATATCTCCCATATCTAAGCTATACCTCCCATATCTAAGCTATACCTCCCATATCTAAGCTATACCTCCCACATCAAAGCTATATCTCCCATGTCTAAGCAATATCTCCCATGTCTAAGCTATATCTCCCATGTCTAAGCTATATCTCCCTTGTCTAAGCTATAAGTCCCATGTCTTAGCTACATCTCCCATGTCTAAGCGAAATCTCCCATGTCTAAGCAATATCTCTCATGTCTTAGCTATATCTCCCTTGTCTAAGCAATATCTCCCATGTCTTAGCTACATCTCCCATGTCTAAGCGATATCTCTCATGTCTTAGCTACATCTCCGATGTCTAAGCTATATCCCCCATGTCTATGCAATATCTCCCAAGTCTAAGCTATATCTCCGACATCTAAGCTATATCTCCCATGTCTAAGCTTATATCTCCCATGTCTTAGCTACATCTCCCATGTCCCATGTCTTGATATCTCTCATGTCTTAGCTACATCTCCTCCCATGTCTAAGCTTATATCCCCATGTCTATGCAATATCTCCATAGTCTAAGCTATATTCTCCACATCTAAGCTATATCTCCCATGTCTAAGCTATATCTCCATGTCTAAGCTACATCTCCCATGTCTAAGCTACATCTCCCATGTCTAAGCTTATATCTCCCACATCAAAGCTATATCTCCTATGTCTAAGCTTATATCTCTCATGTCTAAGCTATATCTCCCATGTCCCATGTCTAAGCTTATATCTCCCATGTCTAAGCTATATCTCTCTATGTCTAAGCTATATCTCCCCATCAAAGCTAAGCTATATCTCCCATGTCTAAGCTTATATCTCCCATGTCTAAGCTTATATCTCCCATGTCTAAGCTAAATCTCCCATGTCTAAGCAATATCTCCCATGTCTTCAGCTATATCTCCCATTGTCTAAGCTATATCTCCCAAATTTTCGAGGTACTAAAATTTCGAGGTTTGAGACCCCCAGAGCTTTCGAGGTGATTTAAATTTCGAGGTTTTGGGGCCTAAAATATATAAATATTTTAGACAATTTTAATTTCGAGGTTAGAAGAAAGTGCCCAGAAACATGACTTACCGGATTAATACTCAGTGAACTATCGACAAGTAGCCAGTGATAACTGCCGTCTGACTGTTATAACTACCGGTATACCAGTCCATGGCAGAAATAATAGTAATGAAAACAACCCTTTGATCCTTTGTTGTGATAAATTACCCATGAAACACTCTGTCGGCAGTGTTCAAACATGACGCCATTTTTTCTCAGACGATATTGTTTTTTTAACAACTAACTATAAGCATGTATGATGGGTCTCTGCTGAAACTATGTTGTTGTTAGAAAGCTGACAAGTTGACCTCTTTAGCGAAACTGACCAACAGCACGGATGCCTTACAGCCCCAGGATGTTTGTGTAAACAATCCCCTTAAAGATGCGCATTCATCAAACCTGGCATCGCCGATGCGGTCCGTTTGGCCAGAGAGTGACATCGAGTGTATTGACAGTTGGTTTGACTTCACATGTAACACACTGATTGAATTACCTATTTTTTATAATGCATGTTATTCTGGACCAACAATTACAACACAATTAAATAATCTCGACACCGCATTTCTGTTGTTTGTTCATTCAGGCCGTTCAGGGTCACTGAACGTTAAGATTAGTTGTAGACAGGCATTAAAGAGTTAATGCGCATGTCAGGAAGTCATTGGTTGCCAGCAGTTGAAATGCTTATCGATAGGAAATCTAACCCAAAGGTTTGAAGTTCGGAAAAATTCATGGATATAATATTTTCGAGGTTGCGCTTCTAACCTCGAAAACCTCGAAAATTAGATACCTCGAAAATTTCTCCCACATCAAAGCTATATCTCCCATGTCTAAGCTATATCCCCCATGTCTAAGCTATATCTCCCACATCAAAGCTATATCTCCCATGTCTAAGCTATATCTCTCATGTCTAAGCTATATCTCCCATGTCTAAGCTACATCTCCATGTCTAAGCTATATCTCCCATGTCTAAGCTATATCCCCCATGTCTAAGCTATATCTCCCATGTCTAAGCTATATCTCCCATGTCTAAGCTATATCTCCCATGTCTAAGCAATATCTCCCATGTCTAAGCTTTATCTCCCATGTCTTAGCAATATCTTCCATGTCTGAGCTATATCTCCATGTCTGCATCTCTCATGTCTAAGCTATATCTCCTATCTCTAAGCTCACCATTCCTGTTTGGTAATGACAGAGTCCACCACTGTACCAGGAGGAGGGTTTTCCACATCAGTGGTCCTGATGAACAGCCGGGTGTTGACTTGCTTATTCACCACAATGAATGACAAATGTGGACTGAAACACAAAAACAACAACATTTGAAGTGAAATAGCTATTTTCAGATTGGCAAATGACATATATAACATTTCTAAGCAAAACTTCCTTTACCCAAGTCATCTTACAGAGAGATACAAGTGTGGGAGGTTTACCTGTAGTACTCTCCTGACAACATGTTCTGGGTCAATGTGGACATCTAACAGAGAGATACAAGTGTGGGAGGTTTACCTGTAGTACTCTCCTGACAACATGTTCTGAGTCAATGTGGACATCTAACAGAGAGATACAAGTGTGGGAGGTTTACCTGTAGTACTCTCCTGACAACATGTTCTGGGTCAATGTGGACATCTAACAGAGAGATACAAGTGTGGGAGGTTTACCTGTAGTACTCTCCTGACAACATGTTCTGGGTCAATGTGGACATCTAACAGAGAGATACAAGTGTGGGAGGTTTACCTGTAGTACTCTCCTGACAACATGTTCTGGGTCAATGTGGACATCTAACAGAGAGATACAAGTGTGGGAGGTTTAGGTTTACCAATGTGGACATCTAACAGAGAGATACAAGTGTGGGAGTACTCTCCTGACAACATGTTCTGGGTCAATGTGGACATCTAACAGAGAGATACAAGTGTGGAGGTTACAAGACAACATGTTCTGAGAGCTTACTTGCAGTTCTCTACTGACAACATGTTCTGAGTCAATGTGGACATCTAACAGAGAGATAGAAGTGTGAGAGCTTACTTGTAGTACTCTCCTGACAACATGTTCTGAGTCAATGTGGACATTTAACAGAGAGATAGAAGTGTGAGAGCTTACTTGTAGTACTCTCCTGACAACATGTTCTGGGTCAATGTGGACATCTAACAGACAGATAGAAGTGTGGGAGGTTTACCTGTAGTACTCTCCTGACAACACATTCTGGGTCAATGTGGACATCTAGCAGAGAGATAGAAGAGAGGAAACTTTACCTGTAGTTCTCCCTGTACAGTTGAAAGATTTCCTTGACCCGTGGCAGCTCACGACTGACTACGGCATCCAGTTGGCCCTCTCTGACACCATCACGATAGATGAAAATATTTTCAGGTAGAACACCACGTCTTTGCTGGTACTTTCTCAGACCCTCTAAATAGATTAAGATACTGTCAGATGTACAGTTGGCAATGAAAAGATGTTACCTGTCCTTACACTTATATCTACCAGACAATGACGGGATGTTACCTGTTCTTACACTTATATCTACCAGACAATGCCAGGAAGTTACCTGACAATAGACGGGATGTTACCTGTTCTTACACTTATATCTACCAGACAATGCCAGGATGTCACCTGTCCTTACACTTATATCTACCAGACAATGCCAGGATGTTACATGTCCTTACACTTATATCTACCAGACAATGCCAGGATGCTACCTGTCCTTACACTTATATCTACCAGACAATGTCAGGATGTTACCTGTCCTTACACTTATATCTACCTGACAATGCCAGGATGTTACCTGTCCTTACACTTATATCTACCTGACAATGCCAGGATGTTACCTGTCCTCACAGTTATATCTACCAGACAATGCCAGGATGTTACCTGTCCTTACACTTATATCTACCAGACAATGTCAGGATGTTACCTGTCCTTACACTTATATCTACCTGACAATGCCAGGATGTTACCTGTCCTTACACTTATATCTACCTGACAATGCCAGGATGTTACCTGTCCTCACACTTATATCTACCAGACAATGCCAGGATGTTACCTGTCCTTACACTTATATCTACCAGACAATGACGGATGTTACCTGTCCTTACATTTATATCTACCAGACAATGACCAGGATGTTACCTGTCCTTACATTTATATATACCAGACAATGCCGGGTTGTTACCTGTCCTTACATTTATATGTACCAGACAATGACACGATGTTACCTGTCCTTACACTTATATCTACCTGACAGTGCCAAGATGTTACCTGTCCTTACACTCACATCTACTGGACAATGCCAGGATGTTACCTGTCCTTACACTTATATCTACCAGACAATGCCTGGATGTTACCTGTCCTCACACTTATATCTACCAGACAATTCTGGGATGTTACCTGTCCATTACTACCAATGATTTACCTCTACATATTGGCATCAGTCTATTGATCAGCTCATCATGACTTTCATAGAAGATGACTCTGCTGTAGAAGCGAGTGCAGATGGTGTTCATGCTGCAAACCACGCCACACACGGACCAGTTCCTCATGGACATGTCCGGGTAGGTGTCGATACCAATCACCATGACAGGAACAACAAACTGAAACAGTTAACGATGTGATGTATAAGCCGACCATGATGAGGTCTACAACCAGGTGAGTTACTGTGTTATAGACATTATAAAATCTGTGCATTTGACAGATTTAGTGAAAGGTAGGTCTCGAACACCTGTCATTCATCATGGGGGAATCGGAGGGCATTGCAATCTGTATTAGGACTGTATCTTATTTTACAACAAGCAGTTGTCACTAAGATGACATAATCCCCTGCCGCAAATTATCAAATCAAACTTAAAAAGTAATTAAAGTGAAGGTCACAGCTTAAGATGAATGTAAACGTCAACAAAAACATGACCAGTCAACCTCTCTTGATATCTTGCTCTGTAGCTGTTCAAACACATAAATATTTTCAAGACTGACTTTGACCTTAACATGAATGTCATGGTGTATGAAATATGCAAAAGATAGTAATAAAGCAATAGTTTATCAAGGAAACATTGAAATAAAGTTTTTAAAGTCTATGAAGAAAATCCAGTGAACCGTTCTTGAGATATCTTGCTGACAATCTTAACATACTGAAATCTTCAAAGTGTCGCTGTGACCTTGAACCTTCCGAGAAGGTCACCAAAATCATCTGGGCCCTGCGCATTCCTTATATGAAGCTTGGTGTCAAATATGAAGAAAATCCAGCGAACAGTTCTTGAATTATCTCGCGGAAAAGGGTAAAACGTTAAAGTCACCTTGTGACCTTAAAATGAAGGGCAAGGTCACTAAATCTGACTGGGACATTTCGCATACTGTGATGAACCTAGGTATCAAGTATAAAAAGAATCTAGTCAAAGGTTCTTAAGATATTCCAATTCGTATGTACGTACCAACGGACAGACAGAGCCTAATACGATATCCCCCGCTTCGCGCTAAATGCGCGGCGGGGGATAAATATGTATATATACAATGAAGAACAGGCACACAGCCACACACACAGGCACAGAGAGGTACACATGCACATGCTCACACACAGACACAATCACCCACACAAACAAACACACAGGCACAGAGAGGTTCACATGCCCACGCTCACACACACAGACACAATCACCCACACAAACATGCAGGCACAGAGAGGTACACATGCACACACAACAAACACACAGGCACTGAGCGGTATACAGGCACATAAAAACACATAGACACAATTACCCACATGTACAAACACACAGGCACAGAGGTACACAGGCACACACATGCGTGCACACAATCACCAACATATGAACACATAGGACTGACTGACTGACTGACTGAGTTTAGTTTTACGCCGCTTTTAGCAATATTCCAGCAATATCACGGCAGGGAAAACCAGAAATGGGCTTAACACCTTGTGCCCATGTGGGGAATCGAACCCGGGCCTTTGGCCTGACGAGTCAACGCTTTAACCACTAGGCTACCCCACTGCCCCTGAACACATACGAAAACAGACACACATGCGAGCGGGCGGGTGCACATGCGCGCATACACACACACACACACACACACACACACACACACTGGTATAGGTTCTAACATCGTTCTCAAGGAAGTGTTAGAACCTACACCGAAACGTCTCTCACTGTAATAAAGAAGTTGTTCATATATACATCATTATCCTTCCTGACTGCTCCAACTTCTAAATGCCTCTGAAAGAAGTAATTCTAACCTGGATGTTCAAAGGTCACATACTTACAGGAATATGAACCGTCCATGCCTCTCCTCCAAGTTTGCAGTTGAGCTGTATTGCTATGTTTCTAGTCATTTTCATCATCAACCGTGCCACAGCCAGGTTCTTCTGTATAACTACTTGACATGGGACTGCAATGGAAAAGACAAAAACTTAAATGGATAGTATCTCTCGTATTTTCCAACCTGTGTATTCTAGCAATATTGTTCAACAGTAATTTTGGTGAATCCAGCATGAAAAGTTTCGGTGATTTGCCAAGGACAAGATAACCATCAAACATATTTTGCACTAAGTCGTGTTTCCATGGAAAAAGCAAAAAACTAAAATTCTGAGAAAATTGAAAATAGCAAAAGGTACATCTATGGTTCATGATTAACGTGTGTGAAGTTTGGTGAACCTAGCATATAAACTTTAAGAGGTATACTCCGGACAAAGTTCAGGATGGAAGGACAGACGGACGGAAGGACAGAATGAACGCTGTATACGCCCGGTACTTCGTAGCAGGGGTATAATAACTCTGAAGTGACCAGTCCTTGTCTTACACCTTAATGCCAAACACCAGGCAGGCTAACAACAAGTACCATCTTTCAATGACTCTTGGTGTGATGGGGTCATGGGATCAAACCACCATAGAGATGCACTTGCTACTTGACCATATAGGTGGGCCATTTGGGTTCAAACAAGTACATGGTAATATTTTTCAAGGTCAAGGATGGCTTCAATGTGGACCCTTGTTGTCACTCTTTTGAGGAGTGATTGAGTTTAGTTTTATGCCGCTTTTAGCAATATTCCAGCAATATCATTGCGGGGGACACCAGAAATCTTCTTTTACACATTGTACCCACTTGGGGAATCGAACCCGGGTATTTGGTGTGACGAGCGAACGCTTTAACCACTAGGCTACCCCACTGCCCCCTTTATGAGGATATATTCAGCCAAAGAATATTGACAATCAGGGTCTTGTTCCAATGAGTGATTTTAGAGCAGCGATAGCTGCAAACCTTGATAGAGTTACCATCATCTTTAGACAGAATTTCGGAAGAGATCCGGGGACAAATGGAAATTGTGTTAAGCTATCTGATTTTGTGCTTCCCGAAAAATGGGGGAGTGAGTGAGTTTAGTTTTACGCCACACTCAACAATATTCCAGCTATATGGCAGCGGTCTGTAAATAATCAAGTCTGGACCAGACAATCCAGTGATCAACAGCAAGAGCATTGACCTGCGCAATTGGAACATATGACATGTGTCAACCATGTCAGCGAGTCTGACCACTCGATCCCGTTAGTCGCCTCTTCGACAAGCATGGGTTACTGATGCTGAATTGGTATTTCTCTCACGAACACCAATTATCTGTTCCCACGGAAGCTACCATATAATTTATTCCCCTAAATAATGGTAAGATTTATGAAATTGGAAAGTTAATTAATGCATTAGCGTTGCATTAAATTGACTCTCACGCCTTCTACCAACCGAGCTTTATTTCAAGCGAACCCCATAGAGTTATGACCTTTGGAACGCTCTTTACGAATGTCCTATAACGCAACCAGTGATTGAGGCCAGTCCGGGAAACACCGACAACACCGCGTCGTCGACAGTTTTGATATGCAGACAATTGTTTACATTCCATATATGGCAAGTGTTATCTGTTTGTATGCTGTTCACCTCGAAGTTTCAATTGTCAATTCCAGGCAAGTCGTAAGGGATAATAAGTCTTTTATTGTATCAATAGGGAGCAAAAGTGAGTGCATATGCCCAAATATATATATTATCGACCAAAATATTGTCAAAAAAGCGTGACATTGTGCCCTTAAAAATATATATACTTTTTCAGGGTTCGTACATATTATTAGCCATCAAATTTCAGCCCTCTTTAGGGGCTTTTCAGGGCCCAAATCAGAATTTTAAGAAACCATAGAAACACATTTAACACATAAGTACTTGAATACACACAAGGTTGGTGAAATGTGGGACCAACCATCAGAGGGAAATAACTCTAAATCGCAGCATGGGAAAGTTTTGCATCACGATGGAGATTAAGTAGCACCCACTGTCATTTCAAGGTATTTTTATGCACTAGCATCCCGCAAAAACATAACTTGACAAGTTTTGCTAAATGTAAGATAGATCAAATAACTGGCAAATAGGACCTTTTGAAGGCTAAAACGAAATATAGAAATTTTCGGTTTGAACTATCTGAATTTCAGCTTTTCAAGCCCGTGCAAATCCTGTTTATTTTATTTTCATATTTTTGACTTGATCCCCTGCAAAACTATCCAACAGACCTGGTCTCTCACATGTACAGAACCTCTTGATGGCATTGTATCGGTCCTTCTTCTTGTCACTGACTATGCATACCACCATCTGGATGTCAGAGGTCACAGAGTTCCTCAAAGCCCTCAGATATGTTTCATTCCGGTCGTCATCCAAGGCAATCCTGATAAAAACACCAGTGTTTTAGACAGCAAATGTGGTAAGGGATCGTTTATGTCAAGATGTGCGTGCATGCGTGATTTTAAGGGGGTCACCCATTTTGTTCTGGGGAAGTAGGAGCAGGGTGGTGTGGTGTGGTGTGGGGTGGTGTGGTGTGGTGTGGTGTGGTGTGGTGTGGTGTGGTGTGTGGTGGGGTGGTGGGGTGGGGTGTGTCATCACTTTTGCACACATTTACATAAAATATAATGCAATAAATATCATGGTGTGTGTGTGTTGGGGGGGGTCACTGATTTTGTACATAACATCCAGGGGGGTCCTTACTTTGTTGTCACCATTTGGTTGTAGTCACTTTGATCTTGGTAACGCTGTAAGAATCTACATCGAAATGTCGCTTAACACAATAAACAAGACGTTTTTTGACTCGCCAACTTTTAGAATGCCGATCAAACAACCATGCAGATACTAGTCTAAACAGTCACCGTGTGATCAAGCTCAATGATGTTGTATATCTTCTTTGAGAGTCATTTTAGACATTGTACAGTTGAAGGAAAACCAAGTTCTATGGACAGTCAGCTTCGTTTCGGTGTTGGTACTAACACCGTTATCAATCAAGTCTCTGATAACCCTGTTAGCAACTACACCGAAATGTCGCACTCATTGCAGAGAAGAAGTTGACTACCCATAGAACCTGGTTTTCCATGATGTACTTTGCTAGCAAAATGGGTACAATTAACTCCTGTTATAACAATCTCAAAGTGGATGTTATTTTAGCTCCTTAAAACCATAGTTTGTTATAAGCATATTGACTAAAAATATACAACAAATGGCCAATACCTCAAAAAGATTTGTTATATCCATCAATTCGTAAGAAATCTGTCCTTAATAATCATATTTTCACACCCCTTTGTCTTGAAAATTGAATTTTGCAGTTTTTGTAGTAAGTGTAAGGAATATTCCATATCACCAGATCAGGGTTGGAATTGGTCTTCAGCAACTCATTTTTGTAACAGACTAATGGGATCGGGTGGTTGACACGTCATCATATCCCAATTGCATAGATTAATGCTCATGCTGTTGATCACTAGATTGTCTGGTCCAGACTTAAGCATCGATCTATGCAGCTGGGATACAAGACATGTGTCAACCAAGTCAGCGAGTCTGACCACCCAACAAGCATGGGTTGCTGAAGACCAAATCTAACCCTGATTGTCATGGGTAGGGGGTTGCTAAGAGACCAATCCTAATCCACTTGAAGCTAGGATTTACAACTTACTTGGTTGGATGTGAGATCTGCATGCCTATATCTCGTCCTGATATTTCGAGAAACAGCACAAAGTGGAGAGCTAGTTGGTCGTGTTTCTTTGGAAACAGCATGAGCCAGTTTCTAAGGGCAACAGTCACCAAGAGCTTCTGGTGTTTCATTCCATGAAGCCAGTTTGCACACTTTGGGTTGTAATGAATCTATAAGACAGAAAAACATGAACTGAACCAAAAGAGTGTAACCTATGTAAGTGAGTGAGTGAGTGAGTGAGTGAGTGAGTGAGTGAGTGAGTGAGTGCGTGAGTGAGTGAGTGACTTTTATGCCACACTCAACAATATTCCAGCTGTATGGCGGTGGACTGTAAGTAATCAAGTCTGAATCAGACAATTCTGTGATCAACATCATGAGCATCGATCTATGCAATTGGAATACGATGTGTCAACAAAGTCAGTGAGTCTGACCACCTGATACCATTAGTCGCCTCTAATGACAAGCATGGGTTACTGAAGATCAATTCTAACCCGGATCTTCACAGGTGTAACATATGCAGGGCTCCAGATAAGGGTTGTATCGGCGTATGTACGGATAAAATATATGCAAGATACGGTAGGAAATAATTTAGAAAGCGTAGCAGATACGCACCACAGCAATGGTGAACGGTCTTAGAATCATTTATTCGGAGACACCAGAAATGGGCCTCACACATTGTACCCATGTCGGGAATGGAACCCGTCTCTGGCATGACAAGCGAATGCTTTAACAACTCGGCTACCCCGATTACATATCTCAACAAATTTATCGTACCAGGAAAAAATATCTTTTCAGCGGAATATTCATCTTTGCAATAAGTGCTTCTGTGCCAAGAGATCAGGAGGTACCAAACCAATGGCACCAGAACAATGGGGAGCCTGACGACAGTGTACTTGGGATGCAAGCGAGACATTTCGAAGGCATACTTAGCATGCTTTTCCTGAATCTTGTCAATCACATTGCTGTCAAAGGGACAGAATATTCAATGATATAAACAAATTCATCGACTTTATCAAAAAGGACCAGATCAGGTTTGTTGGCAGGAATTCTTCTGAGTCTGTATATGGGCCTATTCCAAAGAAGTTTAAAGCTGTCATTTTTCATGATACCCTGGACATGTTCAGGGTCGTACCAAACAACGAGTCATGCCATCATATCGTCTAAGATATGCTGTTTGTGTCAAAGATGGGCATCCACTGACAAGGTGTTGGACAGTCTCTGTAAATTCATTGCACAATCGATGTTTCATTCAAATATTTTCTTTAAGAATAACATTTTGGCGATTGCGAGTGGGAAATGACTGGCCAGCAGAAAGGAAGCCCTCTGTTTCACATATTATTATTATTATTTTTGTTACAGTAAAAATATAGTAGAGAGAATTCACACAGAACGATCACATCACTAACGTATAATGACATCTAATAGTCAAATCAAACAGCCTGCATAACAACAGGACAGAATAGATATTCCAGGAAAAAAAGATTTTCTTACAAGCAAATATCCACTTACGTAGGCATTATCGAAACCAGTAATGTTTTCTTTAACAAAGACATGCCCAGGCACTTCTAACAGTCTTTCAGAGAATCCAAAGCCCCAGTTTTCAAGTTCATGCCGTGTTTGTTGGTTTCTGACAAAACAAAACATTGATGGGTACACAACGTATTATCACAACATAAATCACTGTATGGTCTGGTCAAGACATGATTATTAACAAATACGGTTAGTCATCAATAAACAATAAGAGATTGATAATTGTTAACAAATTATTGATCAATTATCAATAAATTTTGGCGACTTTGTGCAAAAATGGTTGAAGCGTCTGAAAGAAATGAACTTATTTCACATCAGTGTGACATGTTTATGTGTGAAAAACTAACAGTGAGTGAGTGAGTGAGGGGGTTTTGTCCCACTTTAAGGAATATTCCAGCAACATCACAGTGGGGAACACCAGAAATGGGTTTAACCAGCGTTCGAAATACCTGCCTTCCCGATGGCACGGGATGGGTTATTTTCAACACTGACAGCCAGATTCACAAATTCACCTGCCCGATGGTCGGGTTAAAATTTAGGCATGTAAATGAAGATATTCATGATATTTCAGGATAATAAAATCATTATCAATTCACTCATTAAAATATATGATGAATTTCAATTGGGGATGATAATCTACATCGCTTGTCAAACCTAAATAATTTTTAGTTTTGGTCAGGGCTGGCAAGATTTACATCTAACCAGCCCTGTGGTCTGGCTGAAATTTTTGTGTGTTTCATACCCTGGTTTAACACATTGTACCCATGTCGGGAATTGAACTCGGATCTTCGGCGTGACAGGCGAACGCTTTAACCACTAGGCTACCCCACTGCTCCTTATTACTAACTGCATCCTGGACATTATTGAGAACCATCCATGGATAAAATGGATAAAGACTTTACTTTGTGTATTGTGTGAGTAAATTGAAACCTTATTTCATCACAAAAACTTATGTACGAGATTATCAATGACACAATATTCATATCGTTAATCATAAACAATTTTTTCTGTCAAGGAGATTTCTGATTATCAATCTTTTCAGCCAGCGTATTAACAGGACACTGTCATATAGCTATGAACTAACGGAGAGTAGCACTAGACAACCAACAAAAACAAACCCTTTGGGAACAAGAGTGAGTGAGTGAATTTAGTTTTAGGCTGCTTTTAGCAATATTCCATCAATAACACAGCGGGGGACACCAGAAATGGGCTTCACACATTGTACCCATATGGGGAATTGAACCTGAGCCTTCGGCGTGACAAGCAAACTCTATCGCACCTTTCGGGAAGGAGGCCAGAAGAAATAACACTGCAGGCATACAGCTGAGGGAAGACATGACGTAAACGTTACTACTTCCCATTATTTAAGATTGTTTGTTTGTATTTTGCTTAATGCTGCACTCCACAGTATTCCAGCTATATAGTGTCCAGGGATAGAAATACTTTTTTTTCTAAGTGTGCCTTAGGGCACCAGGCAAATATTTTCGATGTGCCTTTCAGAATCCAGGTGTGCCCACATGTTTTTAGAATAAATGACTGTAGCAAGGATGATGATCTTTTGAAATTTATTGTCAGAAAACAACAACTGTAACCAGTTTTCGGTTATCATTGATATGTCTTCTGTTTAAGATGGCTTTCTTATGTTTCATTTGTTTTGCTTTCCCAACACCTTTAATAGCTAAGAATTGTGTGAGAGGTTCACTTTTTTCAGTATATCTAACATACAGAATTTCCTCTTTAATAACTGAACTATCAGTACTCCCAACACTCTAAATGAAAACACAACCAGATTTCTTTACATGAACCATCATAATTCCAGTGATTTCCTGGGCGATAAAGACAATAAATGTTTTTGCCTGGTTGTCATTTGCATAAGTGTTTTGTTTGGTTATTAAGTGACTAAAGGTGTGTTATGTCTCTAAAAAATTAGGCGTGCCATAAGGTCACTGAGAACATTTTATATCCGTGCCATTTCGATATTTACCGTGCCATGGCAAGCTAATATATGGGGTATTTCGAACCCTGGTGTCAGTCTGCAAATAATCGAATCTGTTCCAGACAATCCAGTGATTAACAGCATGAGCATCAGTCGATGGGATAATATGATGTGTCAACCAAGACAGTGAGTGAGTTTTGTTTTACGCCGCACTCAGCAATATTCCAGCTATATTGCAGTGGTCTGTAGATAATCGAGTCTGGACCAGACAATCCAGTGATCAACAGCATGAGCATCGATCTATGCAACTGGGAACCGATAACATGTGTCAACCAAGTCAGTGAGCCTGACCACCCGATCCCGTTAGTCACCTCTTACGACAAGCATGGGTTACTGAAGATCAATTTAACCCGGATCTTCACTTTAAAGGTCACATGCAACGTGAAAACACAACTTTGCAGATTCTGATACCTTCGTATGGACTTACCAAACAAAAGCCAAAATGCAAATTCAACTTATAAAGTTGAAAAATAACGCCGATGAAAAAAAACGCTACGCCAAATCGAGTTCAAACGCTTTCACTAATTTTCCCCAGACTTTTCTGGGGAATACGGGTTTCAACAGCTGGCTGCGCCATAGCACGCGCGCAGTGAAATAGGTTCACAAGAACTTGGAAGCCGGCTGTCTGGTGAATACCGTGAAGGCTTTGGTGTGAGCTAGTTTCATAATGTTTTGTTGATATCTCACAGGCCGAAGCTTTTGTATGTTATGACAGTAAATAAACTGTTTATATAATTTCATTTGTCTATTTCACCACACGCTCTTCTTACCGAAGTCACTTTCTCAGTTCGATACTTAAAAGCAATGTCATTATTTAGAGTTGACACGATTTCTAACTGTGATATAGATATGTCGCTGTCACAGACAAAACTCAATGTCTTGTTTTATTGACACCAGTGTGTCTGCCTGCCTGTCTGCTAATGACAATATTCAATACACAACTGCGATCACTGACCACATGCAATTTGAACTTAACACCAATCAGGCTATACACCATAAACAAAACGCATTGATTTATGGCCCGAAGTTCGGTCTCTGTCACATTATGTAATTACACAGACAGGCAGGTGTGATACTTGAACACATGACATGTTATGATGTCTGTTGATTGCAAAATGTTATACACAAAAAATGAGCATGTATTTACAAAACCCAACTTTCTATATATACACACACAATGACCCGCGGAAGGCGGCATCTGCTAATGAACCAGCCGCTACACTTGAGTGCACACCCACCCGCTTTGACTGGGTTCGTATCCCGCTGCTTCGCTTCGAGGGAGGTAAAACCCAAGTACAAAATATTGCACTTTTGATTTGCGATTATACGCTTATAATTTTGTTTATTTGTTTTTTCATAATCAGCAATGCATATTATATGTCATGAAGAAGTGATAATTGTGTTTTAATTATGTTTGATTTTTTGGTTGCATGTGACCTTTAAAAAGACCTGGAACAAATCACATACCAATATTACAATTAGGGCCGCTATCGATATAGATCATAAAGATCGATGATCATTAACTAACTATCGACTGATTATTGATAAATATAGGAAAAGTAACTTCGAGCAAAAGTGCCAAAAAAGTCTGAAAGAAATGAGGTGTGGAGGGGTAGCCTAGTGGTTAAAAAGTTCGCTCATCACGCCGAAGACCCGGGTTTGATTCCCCACATTCAGTACAATGTTAGAAGCCAATTTCTGGTGTCCTCTGTTGTCATATTGCTTGAATATTGCTAAAAGTGACGTAAAACTAAACTCACTGACTGAAAGAAATGAATGTATTTCACACCACTGCTCATTGTTAGTCAGTCAGTCTAAGTAAACTTAGGCTCAGTATTATTCGTTACACTGCTATACTGAGTCTAAAAAACCCTAGTAGAAGGTCGCGTCAGCTAGCCCTTGGGACTGACCAATCAGAACACAGCTTACCAAATCGCGAAAGTTAACATTTGCACATACCATTTGAACCATTACCTCAAAAACTCGAACGATTCCAAATGCTATTTTCCGCGCGATCGCTTCCGAATGATACACATGGAGGACGCAATGAGTAAACAATCGCTGAAAATAGCGTTTTTGTCAATATTCAAGGATGTCATCTTGTGGAAATATAACATAATAGTAACCATGTCATTAGAAACCCCTAAGCGTATATATTGCAGGTTACATATTGCGGGTTTTCCTTTGTTGATAGATTAGTGTCAGCGACAAGGGAAGAGAAAATCCAAAACCATTTTGTAAGTCCAGCCGAACCCTAACAAGTAATCGTTGTCTGACTGGTTAAATCTGTTTGTCCGTCTCGTGTTTGATTGGACAGTCATAGGTCACTCAAAGGTTAGCTGACGCGACTTTCTACTAGGGTTTGTTAGACTCAGTATAGCAGTGTAATGAATAATACTGAGCCTAAGTTACACTGATATTTCACACCCCTGCTAACTGGTGACATGTTAATGTATGGATTGCAAACATAACAGCATCCTGAACATAATTAAGAAGCAGTCAATGAAATCCTAACTTTGTGTATTGTATGATTAAATGAAAACTTAAATTCTATCAAAAGGCTATGTATGTTAGTATCGATGTCACCATTTTAATATTGATGACCATTAATAATTTTTCCCATCAACGATGTTTCTGATTATTGATCTCTATAGCCAGCCTTACCTGTGAAGGTCAAGCTTAGAATTGGTCTTCAGTAACCCATGCTTGTCGGAAGAGGTGACTGACGGGATCGGGTGGTCAGACTCGCTGACTTGGTGGACACATGTCATCGGTTCCAAATTGCGCAGATTGTCCAGACTTGATATTTACAGACCGCCGCCATACAGCTGGAATTTTCTGAGTACGGTGTATGACTAAACTCACTCACTATAGGCAGTCCTATACACTATTGAAACCATGGGGTTCTAAGACTAGCCTGATACATGCAGACAAAATAAACTATTTGCTAGATTTACCATTATCTTTCTATTTGCTGGATGCACAACCATATTTGCATTTTTCTTTCTTTTTTGCATTATAATTTATACCTATTTCTTCTGTGCAAATTTATACGCTGAACAAAAAGATATGGATCATGAAATTTGGAGGCAATATTTCAAGAAATTTTGAGCTAAAAAATATCCAGACCCTAAATTATACCCAGACCATTTTTATGACGACACAAGGTGCTTTAGCTTCCCTACCATAACCTATAGAAAGTACACGGAGAAGAAGACTGATATCTGTGCCGGGTTGAGTGAGTGAGTGAGTGAGTGAGGGAGTGAGTGAGTGAGCTGGGAAAGGAGAGTCTCTTTTGATGCAGGTCTGATAACATCATGGTGAAACTCAGAAGCATGAGTATGGTGCAATCCACATGCAAGTGCATGGTGAAACCCACAAACACAGGTATGGTGAAACCCACAAACACAGGTATGGTGAAACCCAGAAGCACAGGTATTGTGAAACCCAGAAGCACTGGTATGGTGAAACCCAGAAGCACTGGTATGGTGAAACTCAGTAGCAATGGCATGGTGAAACCCACAAGCACTGGTATGGTGAAACCCAGAAGCATTTGTATGGTGAAACCCACAAGCACTGGTATGGTGAAACCCAGAAGCACTGGTATGGTGAAACCCAGAAGCATGGGTACTGTGAAACCCAGAAGCACTGGTATGGTGAAACCCAGAAGCACTGGTATTGTGAAACCCAGAAGCACTGGTATGGTGAAACCCACAAGCACTGGTATGGTGAAACCCAGAAGCACTGGTATGGTGAAACCCAGAAACACAGGTATGGTGAAAACAGATGCAAGAGTATGGTGAAACCAAGAAGCACTTGATGGTCTACATGTTTCTGAAGAAACATTAAATAATGATAAAACATAAAAGATGTTACCTGTGATGAAGCAGAGCTCAGGCACCAGGTAGATAGGTCCAGTCTGTCCACGCCTCCGGTCCCGGCCAGTTGGTCTGGACATCAGGAGTGGTTGGGCCTGATCTACTATGGTGATCTGGTATTGCTGGATCAACAACAGAACTCAAGAGTAAACAACGATGTAAGGCATAACAATATCAATAAGTCGACCTATGTAGTCCGGGGCCTAGATTTTCGAAGCTCTCTTAGCGCTAAGATAGTCGTAAGCTAATTTTAATGTATGGCACTTACGACTATCTTAGCACTAAGAGAGCTTCGAAAATCTAGGCCCTGAACTCCACACAGCATAGGGTAAATGAGTGATATGTCACTTTTAGTAATATTCCAGCAATATCACAGCGGGGACAACAGAAGGGCTTCACACATTGTACCAGTATTGGGAATTGAACCCAGGCCTTTGGCGTGACGATGAAACACCTTAACCACTAGACTACCCCACCGCCCCCACACTGCATGGGCATGCTCTAAGCGTATACAACATAATGGATTTAGTCACATGACTTACTGGTTTCCCAGGGGTGGTGGGGTAGCCTTGTGGTTTAGGTGTTGGCTCGTCAGGCTCAAGACCCAGGTTTGATTCCCCATATGGGCACAATGTGTGAAGCCCATTTCTGGTGTCCCCCGCTGTGATATTGCTGGAATATTGCTAAAAGCAGCATAAAAGTAAACTCCGTCAGTCAGTACTGGTTTCCCACCAGGTACCAATTTACTGCTGGGTGAACGGAGGCTTAAACAGCTAAACCCCATCCTAGACTGACATTGTTAGTTTTGTAAATGGCAGGAAGAATAGGTCACTCTGACATTTTTCATATTTGCCAGTTTTTAACTTGCAGTGGGAACAAGCATGACATACAGACCAATTGAAAATATGCATGTTTTTTTTCTAAAGATTTGGATTACCTGAAATTCAGAATCATCCTGACATTGTACTCAGTTCAAAAGAGTAAAACCTAGTACCAAAGATATGTATTTCCCTATTGATCTCATCCTAAATGAATTTATTTTGGGTAAATACGGTACAGGTTTGGCTAACGCAGCAGGGTTGAGTTGCACGTGAAAGTGGTGTCACGAAGTCAATGACGTGAGAGAGGTTTCTTGGTGTATGGAGAAGAATGAACAATCATTCGAGGTCTTCGCACTGTGCAGGCGAGCAGCTATCTCCATTATATTGACTGAGTAAATGATTCCGTATGGAAGTTGTTCATGCTGTTTGGCAGTTGAAACCTTATGGTACTTTTGTGTAAGCTCAAGTGTTTTTGAAGAGTCATTATCAGCCAGTAGACCATGAATGGGACGGCGGAGCTGGAGACATCTGACGATATCTTGGAAATTTACAAGATAAGTTTTCTTCTTTAAAATTAGATATATATATATATGAACATATGAAACGAATATGCAAATTACTGTGAATTGGAGTTTTATCCTAACGTGTATTAAGTGTTTTAATCATTCTCTTAAATATTGCAACTATCTGCTAATTAAAGTTAATTTTGCATACATTGTTTTGCAGGAAGACGAATGTACGGCCTACGCATCGCGTAAACATTGCACATGTACTTTGTAAATAAACCTGCTCGTCTGCTCGTTGAGCTGCGGTAGACATAACCCTAATGTGTGTTTTGTTATACAAAATAAATATTTTATGTTCGGTTGATCGAAGAGAATTAGAACATAAGTACTGTTTTTCTCTCAATCCCAAATCTGAAAATGTCGACAGCAAGTGTATTGAAATGATCCATCGACTTGGGTACCAATTTTAAACCAGCAGTTTGGTTTAAATTACCATAGTTAGCGTTTCTGCTTGTTTTAGTAACCTGGCAAGTTCAGTTATCAGTTTTCAACAGAAGCAATGCTTATCTAATAAATGTTTTTCACTGTATAAGTCTTCTTTGAAGTTCAATAAGGAAGTCTTGTGACCATGGCAACGGCATACCTGCTGGAAGTACTCCTGGAAGGTGATGGTGGTACCGTTGGTGAGTCTGAACGTGTCTGTCGGAGTGAGTGAGTCATTAACGTCATCCACCCTGTAGGTTCGATTGTTGTACCTGTGCACGGATATCACAATCTGAGTTGCGTTTATATGAGCAGCCTGTATGAATTAAATGAATCACAGTCTTAATTTTCCCATGATGCACTAATTACAAATAATGCCAAACCCCTTGTGCCTGTAGGCAGCACATGCATTTCATGCCAGGTCAGTCGACGGTCCGATTTTACGAGTACACATGCTTTTCTGGATATCCTGTTACGCATCCCACTGAACGCCACGTTAGGCCAATGTGGGATATTTCAACATATGCTATTTGCAATTGTGTAAATTTTAGAGTAACAGTCCAAATTCAGTTTTTTTTCTGTTTCCGACAGTACTTTAACCCTCTAATCCATTCCTCTGATTAATTATTATCAGAAATTTTATCAGCCTATCAAATACGGAAAGAGGAATCCCTTTTTTTTCATATTATGAGAAATGCTTGGTAATACACAGGTCTTTCTACAGCCACTTTTATGGGACATGAAGACATTCTGTCTGACAAGAAGACTTTTTGGGGCTTTCTTTCATTTGTCAGTCAGTTTGTCAAAGTTGTTTGTTTATTGTTTAGGCCGCACTCTGCAATAGTAGAGCTAGTGGCGGCAGTCTGTAAATAATCGAATCTGGACCAGATAATCCAGTGGTCAACAGCACGAGCATCGATCAACACATTTGGGATACGACTTCATGTGTCAACCAAGTCAGCAAGCCTGGCCACCCAATCATGTCAGTTGCTTCTTACGACAAGGATGGGTTGCTGAAGACCAACTCTAAGCTGAATCTCCATGAGGTGAGGTGAAATTGGGTTTAACGTCGGGCTTGAGAATATTTCGCTCATATGACGACGTGCATGCGTGTGTATGTGTATGTGCGGCAGCTTGTACTAGCCCAGACTTAAGCTGGTTTTATAGTGCCAGCCCACTGAGATACCATGCCGCAGTGAAACACGAATACCCCACTCAGACACATTATACTGACTCCGAGCCAACCAGTCCTTGTTGTACCCATTAATGCCGAGCGCCAGACAGGGACCAACAAGTACCATATTTTAACGTCTTTTGGTATGACGCGGTCGGGCATCGAACCTGCGACCTTCCGCTCTCCGGGCGGACGCTCTAACCACTACACGAATCTTCATGAGACTATCAAGAAGACATTTAAGGGCTTTCTTTCATTTGTAAGTCAGATTGTCAAAGTTTAATTTCCCCCAAACTATATAATGGACCTAAAGACATCTTATTCATCAAACAGATACTTCCCAGTTTTCTTTTGCATGTCAATCAATTTTGTCAATGTTGAATATTTCCATCAAATTCTCTTGTTATGAATGGGACAGGCCGCCAACCCAACATTGAGCCCCGTTTAAAATACATTCCCATTGGTCATTAGACTGAGTGAGTGAGTTTAGTTTTACGCCACTCTCAGCTAGGGCTTCCACAGGTACTCGAGGATGAGTCGGACTGAGCTGGACTCAAGTCCATTTTCTAGGACTCGATAAGGGGAGATAACTTTATTTGGGTTACGTTTGTCTTTTCCTCTCTTTTTCTTTTCTCTTTCATTCATGGCCTTTTCTCAGCCATCATTCAAATTTGAACCACCTTGATGATGGTGGTGGGGTTTCGTTGTCAGACTGCCAGTCTAAGCAAGATTGTCCGTTAATGTCTGATATTATACATCATTTGAGACTCCACTTCTTAAAATGATTTGGCAACTATCTTGTTGACAATTGATAGACATTGAGAAAGATAAAAAAGTCAAATGTATGGGCGTATTTTGATCTGGATAGTGATAAAAATGGGTTACAGTTTGCTTGTGGTTAACATGAAATAAGTTATTTATTTGTTTGTCAATATCCTCTGATGTTCAGAGTGAGTGAGTGAGCGAGTTTAGTTTTACGCCGCACTCAGCAATATTCCAGCAATATGGAGGCGGTCTGTAAATAATCGAGTCTGGACCAGACAATCCAGTGATCAACAGCATGAACATCGATCTGCGCAATTGGGAACCGATGACATGTGTCAACCAAGTCAGTGAGCCTGACCACCCGATCCCGTTAGTCGCCTTTTACGACAAGCCTAGTCGCCTTTTATGATAAGAATGGGTTGCTGAAGACCTATTCTACCCTGGATCTTCACGGGTTCTGATGTTCAGACATTTGAGTTAAAGTGAAAATGTGAAGAATACTTTTGCGGTTTTAACTTTTTGAATCTTGATACTCTTCATTAAACATCTTGAAATGTAACGTACGTGTTGATATTTTGATTCCTATGATCTCTTTCAGTATACTTAGTCATGATTTATCACTCTAAAGAATTAAAAAACGTAAGTATGAAAGCGATTATTGACATTGGACAATTGTTAGAAGGCCTAAATAATTTTGAAAAGTGCATCAATATCAATTCAAATTCTTCCTATTAACTGTCTTGTATTCGATGAATTGTGCTGATTGAAAGTGATCGTTTCAGTGGTTCTCCATAATTCACTAACAACAATGGCTGATTGTATATATAGTATTCATTCTGTCCTTCCGTCCGTTCATCCCAAAACTTTGTCCAGAGCAACCTACATGCTAGGTTCACCAAACTTCACATCCATTTTAATAATTACCCATAAATGTGCCTTTAGCTATTTTGAAGATTATCAGAATTATATTTGTTGCTGTTTCCATGGAAACAAGACGGTGCAAAATGTGTTTGATGGTTATCTTGTCCAGAGCATATCTCTGAAGCTATATACAAGCTTGGTTCAATAGCATGTCAGGTTTCCATAGAAAGGACAAAAAAAATAATATTTCCATAAATTATTAATGTAATCAGTAAATGACAAAACTATTATCTAACATGTATGTAAAGTTTGGTGGAGTCTAGGAGAAAGTCTTGTGAGCTGCTGATCCTTGTCACATTATATATATCAATATCAGTCATTTCCATGTCCCAAAGTGGGATATGTGATTAACAGTATCGGGTGGTCAGGTTTGCTGTCTTGGTTGACTACCCGTGAAGATCCGGGTTAGAATATTGATCTTCAGTAACCCATGCTTGTCGTAAGAGGCGATTAACGGGATCGGGTGGTCAGGCTCGCTGACTTGGTTGACGCGTCTTCGGTTCCCAAAATGCGCAGATCGATGCTCATGCTGTTGATCACTGAATTGTCTGATCCAGACTTGATTATTTACAGACCGCCGCCATAAATCTGGGATATTGCTGAGTGGACGTTACACAACAAACCAACAAGCAAATGTAATCATGTATACTCCCAATGGAGATGCGATATAATTCATGTAGACGCCATATAGCTGTAATATTGCTGAGTGCGGCGTAAAACTAAACTCACTCACTCATTCATTTCTGCACTTGCTATGCTTGCCATGGTTTGTCATCGAGTCTGGACCAGACAATCTGGTGATTAACAGCATGAACATCGTTCTAAGCAATTGGGAACCGATGACATGTGTCAACCAAGTCAGCGAGCCTGACCACCCGATCCTGTTACCCGGTTACTGAAGATCAATTCTAACCAAGATCTTCACAGGAGACAAGCATGGGTTACTGAAGATCAATTCTAACCCAGATCTTCACAGGAGACAAGCATGGGTTGCTGAAGATCAATTCTAAACCGGATCTTCACAGGAGACAAGCATGGGTTGCTGAAGATCAATTCTAAACCAGATTTAAACGGGTTTAGTCTGAGTAGCATAGCAAATACAATCAGCTGAATGAAATCAAGGGGAGGTAATTTGTAATTGCAAGAATCTAAGGAATGGCTCCAGGGGTTAGCGGAGGTTTACCGAAATGCAACCTGTGTTGATATCGAGGAATCACTGTACCTGGTGATGACAGTGCAGCCGATCAGCGCACGTCTGACATCATCCATGTTGGTTTGTGTCATGTACTCTCTGTTGATAACGTCCAGACATGTATCCGTCCGTATGACCTTGTGGGTTAAATCCACGTTGAGCAGTACCCGGTCCTCAAAGGGCAGGATGGAGGCAGCCACACCTGGGATTACCTGAAGTCTGCAAATTAGAAACTTGATTATTTATATCTATTATTTATATCAATCTGGATGATAGAGATCAATAATCGCTAACTGAAAATTGATCGATTAGCTATAAATTTCAGAGAAGTAACAGAAGTAAATGATAAAAATGTCTAAAAGCAATGACCATATTTCACATCACTGGTGATGACATGTTTTTATATGGATTATCAACAAAACAGCATCCTGAATATAACTTAAAAGCAGACCATGTATATACGTGTAGTCCTAAATTTGAATATCGTTTAAGAAAATTAAACATTTTTCATTTCACAAAAGTTAATTACTGATAACACAATTTTCACATTGATAATTATTAACAATTTTTTCTACTTTCTTATTTCCGAATATGGATAATTTTAGTCAAACATATTTTGATATGATAACAGGATGCCTTTGTATTAGTAATCTTAGCTCTAAGGTGACTATTGAGGGGGAAATAACTATTGCGATAGGAAAAGCCTATTGCAACATACTATTGCAACAGCGATAGTCTATAGTGACCAACTATGGCAGTACTATTGCAATAGATGTTTTCTCCTTGAATTGTCTCCTTTTCTCCTTGAATTGGCTCATTTTCCCAAATGAATGTTTAGTTTATATGAAACAAAAACAAGTTTCAGTCTCTTTTAATAGCTGACAGGAAATTTGAAACCCAGGTCAAGTAAACAGTTAAAGCATAAACTTACTGATATTCACAATTTCAAACTCTTAGTCGCATGCCGTTTTTGCCGCCATGTTTGTTTAAAAGGTAACATAACTCTACAGTAAATCAAAGTGAACGAATCTGGTACTTCCTGTATTTTGCGCTGTGCATTTATCAATGGAAGTCAAATATTTAACTATCGATAGTCACACAAACAATTGATGCATCAATAGTTTTTCGTTTCTACCATCAATTAATTGCTATCGGAGACTCAACAATTGTAATCCATCAATAGTTTGATGCAAATTTAACTTAACTTCCTACAGTCGTAATATATAGCGTTTTTTCATACAGTGGCAGCAAGGGATCAGAGGTTGATGTTTTTATTGGTTTGTACTGAACGCTGCACTCAGCAACGTTACAGCTATATAGGGTCCGTCTGTAAATAATCGCGTCTGTACCACAAAATCAAGTGATCAACATCATAAGCAACGATCTACGCATGTGTCAACCAAGTCAGCGAGTCTGATCATCCCATCCCGTTAGTCACCTCTTACATATTATTATTTATTATAGGATATCTATACAGTGCACATATCCATGCAACTAGTATATGCTGAAGGCGCTGGTATGTTTTTCACTCGATCATTGGCCCATTGTATTATAAATCTCAACTCCCCGGGGATCATACAACTCTTGCAGCCACTAGGCACACCGAGTTACTACGGCTTTCTCATCCTTACGAGGTACCCATTCACAGCTGGGTGGACCGGGACACATAGTCACTGTACTTTGTCCAAGTTTACTGCATGCTGCTGTACCTGCAACTAGGTGTTTGCACATATTCATGTGGCCACCATGTGGTCATATATCAACGGATTCGTGGGTTCTTTTAAGTGCACAGGGTTGTGTACTGTACACTAGGGGTTGTGACACTGAAAGAGTCTGCACACAAAGATGACTCCAAGGTTTTTACACCCGGTCACATGTGGGCTAGATCCCTTCACCTCAAGCTCTGGATCACTAGCCTGATGCCTTAGCCAGCACGCCAACCATGCCCCTAAGCATGGGTTGCTGAAGACCAATTCTAACCCATACCTTCATGGGTCACTGAGGTTTAGAAACAATCTACAGGCTGACGTTATAGCCTATATAAGAAACATAAGTTGGCAGTTATAGAACACTGATATTAAGCAAACATATCTGGGTCATTGTGGTGTTATTTGGCAATTGATAGTTGAAGATGATTTATTCTACTAATTTAGAAGTGATTTACAAATTCTGCAATTCTGACTTTCCTAAACTTATACTATTCACCCTTTGCTAAGGATCAAATCATGGATTCAACAGAAATTAATGATGTGGAGTCAAATTTGGTTTAAATATCTAAGCTTATTGTAAGCATGGATCCTAGGTTTCAGTATGTCATTGTGGATCCCATACCTGCTACTGACAGGTGTTGTGTACTTGTCAATGACTCGTTCCATGATTTGCAAAATGGCTGATTGGTGCCATGTTATGGTTACTCATGTATCAGGTGCATAAGGTTAGAATAAAGTGGTTGTCTGCTTAAAGAGAGGTTACCATATCATTATTTATCCACTTTTAAATGGATACAATTTCAAATTATACATCTATGTTTATGTAAAGTTGTGAATTTTTGTGATCTTTATCAAAGTGTGAGTAGTATATTTCATGAATTATGAAATATTGGCTTCAGGTTTGGGTCAAACTCAGCCTGTGCTGAAGAGTATCTGTGTTACAATTGGTCTCCAGTAACCCATGCTTGTCGTAAGAGGTGACTAACAGGATCGGATGGTCAGACTCGCTGACTTGGTTGACACACATCATCGTATCCCAATTGCATAGTTTGATGCTCATGATGTTGATCACTGGATTGTCTGGTCCAGACACACTATATAGCTGGAAAATAGCTGATTATGGCATTAAGCAATAAATAAACCGCAAAGCTGCTTATGCCGTTGACCACATGCTAGCTGACTAGGATTGTTTCCTTCAAGCATGCACAATACTTACATAGAGCGTTGGTTACTGTTGATGTCGACACTACTGCCAAAGTCATAGTGGTGTCTCTGAACCTGATCCATGCCTAGCTGCCTCAACAACCTGCAACAGAGACACAGCCGATCATATAGGTGAGTGAGTATGGTTTTATGCCGCTTTAGCAATATTCCAGCGGGTACACCAGAAATGGGCTTCACACATTGTACCCATGTGGGGAATCGAGCCCAGGTCTTCGGCATGATGAATGAACTCTTTAACCACTAGGCTACCCAACTGCCCCTTCAAGTTAGGAAGACCGCCTCCGTGGTGTAGTGGTTAGAGTGTCCGCCGGAGAGAGAAGGTCGCGGAGTTCGATCCCGACAGCGTCAAACCAAAAGATGTTAAATTATGGTACTTGTTGGTCCCTGCCTGGCTCGCCATTAATGGGTACAACAAGGAATGGTCGGCTTCGAGTCAGTATAATGTGTCTGAGTGGGGTATTCATGCTTCACTGCGGCATGGTATCTCAGTGGGCTAGCACTATAAAACCAGTTTAAGTCTGGGCTAGTACAAGCAGCCGCGACATACACATACTCACGCATGTATGCGTCGTCATATGGCGGAATATTTTCAAGCACCACGTTAACCCCAATTTCACCGCCCCTTCAAGTTAGGAGTGAACAATATTTCAGCTATGACATCAGAAATAACCATAACAAATAAAAATGATAATTTTTCTCTAAAAACGTGTGCTCAATCTTCTCTACAAATATCCACTTTTTCTGTGTGTTAAGCATATAAACATGAAATGGTAAATTCTTAATTTCATTTCATGAAATTTTTACTGACACTGGCCGCAGACAGGGACCTGATATTGCTCTGACCAGTTCCAATTTAATTCCAGTGATTTAAAAGATAAATCAGTTATAGTTAAACCATGACTCAGAGGACAGTTTTAACTTTTTAACAATCAAAATACAAATATACAGAAAAGACACTGAATTACCTTAAAAGTGAAACAAAAAAAGTTGTGTTACAAAACGAAATTAATGACAGCAGACGAGAGAAAGATGACAAACAGCATGCAGACAACTAAAATCAATGTAAGATTAAACAATCTTTGACCTGTAAAGACCAGGTTAGAATTGCTTGTTAGATGCTTGTCGTAAGAGGTGATTAACGAATCAGGTGGTCAGATTCACTGACTTGGTTGACAAATGTTCTCATTATATATCCAAATTGTTGAAATCAATGCTAATAATGTTGAACACAGGAGTTTCTGATCTAGACTTGATTAGACTTACACACTGCCGCCATATAGCTGACAGTGCTAGTCATACTGTTAACCACATGCCATTGATGTTGATCACTGGATTTTCTGGTCCAGACTCGATTATTTACAGACTGCCCACAAATAGCTGGAATATTGCTGAGCCGGTGTTAAACAACAAACAAACAAACAACATTAAACACTTGCAGCGGATGGCTTACTAAGAACAATATGGGTTTACTATGCTAAACATAACATGGAAATAAATTTAACTATAAACTTCGGCAAAATCAAATTGTAAAAACTTGGTCTTACAATTCAAGGCATTAAGAAGTTGGCTTTCAAGTATTATGGATGACAACTTCTTCTTTATTAATATGTCACAACGTTTCTAGTAGTAGTTTTCGATTAATTGAAATAATCGAAGACTGGTCGGTGACCAAATGACCAAGCAATCGATCACATTTTCTCATAATCGACCACACACTATTTTGGAACTGTTGTTTTAGTCTTTGACACACTTGATGATGGAACATATCTTTGAAGTTGTCAGCGCCTGAAAACTTGTTTAATTCTTAGAAAACTCACTTCACTAACTGATGCAAGTTGCATCATGTTATACATATCTGCAATAACAACCTGGATAGGAAAATCTGAAAAATGGCGCTAACCAAATTTTATCGATGATTGTTAGTTTGGTAGTGAAGCAATCATCAATTGTGAGATTTCAACACTAGTTTATAGGCTATTTCTTGCCCCTTCGTCAGGTGAATTTGCCTGACGAAGGGCAAAAAATAACCTAGAATGGTTGTGTATAAAATACACAAGAAGTTGTCATCCATAATATTTGCCTTTTACCTCTCACAACGTTACTCTAGGAAGGTGACATACCTACAATTAGTGATGTAGGATTAAAGAAGGATTAAAACGATTATCGATTGTAAAAACATATTATAATATTCGATTAATCAGAATTTTGTTGTTTTTGAATAACACCCTTGAATGAAGTAAACTAACAATCAAATTTGACGAATATTCACGAACAAACATGCGCTCAACAGCGTAAAGCTATGCCTATTGTAAAATTTTAACCACTTTTATTGTTTAATTACAATTCCAGTGTCTTTTTGCATGTGTGCATTTCATTACATGACAGCATTAGTTATGTAAAAAAACCCATTAATTAGAAAAAAACTGGGGAAAAACCCTTAAAATTGGTGATTACATTAAAAATGTATATATTTCAATTATAATTGATAATCGTTCACCACAATCCTCCGATAATCGATAGTGGATTTGGTTTCCGATTCCCAACACTACCTACAATACAAGGCAAGAGGCAATAGGTTTATAAACATATTGAATAGATAAATCAGCTTTTCCATACCTTCTGAGGATGATGTTGAATACTTGAATGGCCTGTGGAGCATCGGGAGGCAGCTCTGACGTCAACGTGATGGTCAGCCTGATCTGGACACCGTCATACTGTCGTGTTGAATGTACCTCCGTCACCTACACCAAGAAAACAGTTTCACTCATACAGTGATGTGCATGTGTTTGTGTGTCAAAGAGACTCATATGTGTGTGTGGCTCATGTAGTGATATGTGTGCGTCTCTCTCTCTCTCTCGCTCATTCTCTCTCGGTGCATATATGTGTGTGTGGCACATGTAGTGATGTGTTTGTGTGACTCCTGTAGTGATGTGCATGTGTGTGCATGCATGTGTAGGGGTGGGGTGGGATGTGAATTAGGTCTATGTGACTTTATAGTAATGAGCAATTTGCAATATTCGTGATACCACAATCTTAATTTTTCTAATAAAATATACTCAGCAGCAAAACACCAGTCAGTATGAATTCAAAATTAGATAGGCACTATAATCAAATCATTACAGATATGTACATAATATGGGGATCAAAACATTGTTTGTCCTTAATATCTTGACAAATCAATGAAAAGTCAGCAAGATATCAAGCCACTGCATAATAATGTTGACACCATTCTGCTGTAGGAAGTCCCGTGTAGCTCTGGCAGTATGGGCCAGGGCGTTATCATGCTGGAAAATGTTGTTCGGTGGCGTCGCTGAAATGTGGTATGGCGTGGGGTCTCAGAGCACCGCTGTGATGCCGCCTCCTCTTCCTGGACCAAGTTTCTGGAACAGTACAGGACCCACTCTCTGGTTCAGGCCTATTCCACCCCATACCATGATGTGATTACCTGGAAGTGATTGGCAATGGCTTGTGCAGTTTGGCCAGCTTCAAGTCTTCCTAGCGCCTGGTTCCTCTGAGCTGTCTTGAGTCACGGCATCCTGCTGACGTTGTAATGTGAATGTTTCAACCAGGTTTGGGGGTGCATTTTATAGGGCTGATCTTTGTGAACAGCACGTGCAGCATGAGTTGCATGAAAAACATGGAGAACACCGTATTATCTCCGAGATCAGGTTGCGTTTTGAGACCATTTCCTGGGTTCAATTCTGAGTTTGGGAAAGAATGTCTCAGCTCAGGTAAAGTTGGAGATGTTGTCAAAAATATACAATCAAAACATGAAATGAGTTTACAGTAATCCATTTCTGCGAAAGAAAATTCCAAACTGACGTTTCTTTTGCTGCTTAGTATAATTGCATATTTGGTCACTATTTGGGACTTTTCGAACAGGGACATTAGTCAGCAAAATATAACACAGTCCAAAGATCAATACCACCACCCCACTCTCCGTCCCTCCATAATAATGGACCAGTCCCTAAACTGTAAGAAGCTACCTAAATCATAGCTACCTATCTGAATTAAAGTCTTTATATAATAATTAGGGTGCTGAACATGTTTCCCATTTAACTTGTGTTAGGGGGATTGATCAAATAATCGGTCAATCAATCAATCTCAGGAGATTAATTGATATTCATAAGACCTGAAACATCTAATCAAACTTTTTAATGCATGTTTCTTTTTGTTACGTGTGTTAAATCAAGACATAAACAACCAATTCATGGGAGTGTCTCAAAAGGAAGTATCCTTGATCATTTTGAGCCAAGCAGGAATTTTTATGGGTGGGCCAACCCACCTGGTTAAATTTGGGTGGGCCCAAGTTCTTGATAGGAGAGTCAAAATGCCCCACCAGGTTAATTTTAGGTGGCCCCCTTTCAGATTTGGGTGTTTGATGTTTTCAGCTAAATGTACTTACATAGTTTGCATGTTAATAAACTGTTTAAATAAGCTCGAAAATATTTTCTGAGACACGATCATTCACGAACATGAACAAAAACCGAAACTGAATGTTACCAAATGAAAGATTTTTAGAAACACGACATCATTGGCTGAACTTATTACAACAACCAATCAGGAATATTAATGCATGTGGATTTAAACTGGTTCACTTAATAGTCTTTTGCGCAACTGCGGTGAACGATAACAGTATTTATTGCATTATATTTACTTAAGCCGCACTTGTATTTTTTGGATGAATCATTTTCAAATATTGTGTGTCCACAGGACGCACCCCAAATTTCTGTATTATTCGTTACACTGCTATACTGAGTCTAACAAAACCTAGTAGAAGGTCGCGTCAGCTAACCTTTGAGCAACTTATGACCGTCCAATCAAACTCGAGACGGCTGAACGGATTCAACAAATCAGACAACAACTACTTGTTAGGGTTTGGCGGGACTTACAAAACGGTTTGGGGATTTTCTCTTCCCTGGCTGCTGACACTGATCTATCAACAAACGTAAATCTGCATAAAATAGAGATATTTGACCTGCAATATATACGCTTATGGGTTTCTAATGACATGGTTACTATTTGCTTATATTTTCGCAAAGATGACATCCTTGAATACTGACAAAACGCTATTTTCAGCGACTGTTTACTCATTGCGTGTATCACTCGGAAGCGATCGTGCGGAAAATAGCATTCGGAATCATTCGAGTTTTTGAGGTAAAGGTTCAAACGATATGTGCGAATGTTAACTTTCGCGATTTGATAAGCTATGTTCTGATTGGTCAGTCCAAAAGGTTAGGTGACGCGACCTTCTAATAGGTTTTGTTAGACACTTTTAATGAGTGCCTCTGTCATTTCCCACCCATGAAGATCCAGGTTAGAATTGCTCTTAATTAACCCCTGCTTGTCGTAAGAGGCGATCAGGCGGTCAGGCTCACTGATATGGCTGACACATGTCTTCATATTCTAAATGGGTAGATCGATGCTCATGCTGTTGATCACTGGACTGTCTGGTCCCAATTCAAATTCAATTATGTATTACAGCTGCCATTAGCCATCAAACTAAACTCTTCTTTTATTTGTACAATGGTATTACTGTGTCCTGTATTTGCACACATTAGTTTTGTGGTGAGGTTTAAGATTACAATTGATTATTGATCCATTACTGAGCTCAATTATCAATCAATTGCGAGCGATAACCAGCGATATAATAACAGACTAGAATGCGTCTCTTACCTCATTTGGTAAATGGCGGTAGGAACAACATGGTGCCATCAAAAGCATGCACATCACCAATAAGTTCTTGGTGAACATACAACAGCGCCGTTCTGACCCTCTTGGACTCGCAGGGAGGGTTGTATTCAACGTGATACTGGTACAGGGGGGTGCTGCGTACGAAGTTTACGCTGAAGTAGTTGGTCATCAGTTTTACGTTCCTGTGACGAATACAGAGTTCCCCTGAAGATTGATAGAAAATTCATATATACTGCAGTACGCAGTGTTTTCACACGTATACAGAAAACACATAAAAAACTTAATGTATCCATTTATAGCGCAAACTCCACACCAGGTATGCTCCTAATGCATACAACATGACTGATATTACTACCCCAGATAACCCAAGCTGCCTGTGAGGCGCAAGATGGTTATTATGACTTATCCCACCAGGTACCCATTTTCTGCTGGATGAACAGCAGCAATTTATGAACAAACTCACTGGTGAGGTGAGGTGAAATTGGGTTTAACGTCGTGCCTGAGAATATTTCGCTCATATGACGACGTGCATGCATGTGTATGTGTTGCTGCTTGTACTTGCCCAGACTGAAGCTGGTTTTATAGTGCTAGCCCACTGACATACCATGCCGCAGTGAAGCATGAATACCCCACTCAGACACATTATACTGACTCCAAGCCGACCATTCCTTGTTGTACCCATTCATGCCGAGCGCCAGACGGGGACCAACAAGTACCACATTTTAACGTCTTTTGGTATGACGCGGTCGGGGATCGAACCCGCGACCTTCCTCTCTCCGGGCGGACGCTCTAACCACTACACCATGGAGGCGGTTACAATCTCACTTGGCTAAGGTGAGACCACATGTATCACATGTGCTTCGTTGTTGGGCAGGATTGAAGTCCTGCGCAACCTGCGGTCACCCATCCAAGGACTCTCCATGCTCAACTGAGTTGTGAACTGAGCTCTATGCACAGGACCACACACTGCCACATATCTTTATCAATTCCAAACCAGTATTTAACAATATCAGAATGATACAGATAACAGTGAGAAAGAACTGTAACAAAGTGCTAGCATACAAAGGCCACATGGTGCCACATTTGTGGCATAAACTACCTTTTTAGACCAAAATTTCTAAAATTTTGAGATTTTTCTTGTTACGTTGGTACAGTTGTAGTTTTGATTATTTGTTTTTGCTATACAAAGTTATTTAAAACTCGAAATTTCTTTTTGGGTTTCTTCAACTTATTTCTCGAGGTTTCAAGTCATTTTGAGTGACTCCAAATGTTTTATTCATCTGACTATTTCCATTATAAAATCAAAATTACAAGCATTTTCTCATTACTTCAGTTATATTCACATCATTTCAAATTTTCCAGTTTTAAAAACAACCTTGAAATAATAAGAAAATAATCAATATTAAGAGAAAATAATAAAAAAGTAATGTAATAAAATTAGGATTTGTAAATAAATTATCGAAATAATAAAAAAAAAATAATTTAAGAGTTAAGAAATAACTTGAATATTGAGAAAAATTCAAAGTAACAGGAAAATACTCATTTCCAAAATACATTATAACATGAAAAAATACAAAATAACTGAAATTATGAAAAACACCCTGAAATAATAAAAATATATCAATGAGGAAAAACTGACTTTTGAACAAGCAGATTTGATAAAAGAGAAATTTTGGTTTAAAAATAATCTATACTACAAAATGCTCACATTAGGATTTCGTATTTGCATGCTTGTTAAAAACAGGACAATGTCACACTTACTAATCCTTTGAATATTTGGATCTTCGGAGAGGTTCACTATGGCTACACCTGGTGGCAGTAACCATCTAAGAAATGAATCAATAAATAGTTTCAAATCTCCATCTTGTAATTGTGCCCCTGCCTCAGCTCCTTCTTGAGGCAGTGCCCAGTCTTGCACTCCATGTTGCGGCGTTGAATCTGCTTGTGTTGGATATTGAGCTTGTGCCCAAACTGTTGTTCTCCCTTGAGTCTTTACCCTTGCCACTGCTCCAGCATCAGTTTGTGCCCGAGCTCCACCTCCAGAATGTGCCCCTGCCTGAGCTCCACCTCCAGACTGTGCCCCTGCCCGAGTTCGACCTTCAGGCTGTGCCCCTGCAAGAGTTCCATCTCCAGATTGTGCCACAGGCCGAGCTCCACCTCGAGACTGTGCCCCTGCCCGAGTTCCACCTTCAGGCTGTGCCCCTGCAAGAGTTCCATCTCCAGAATGTGCCACAGGCCGAGTTCCACCTCCAGACTGTGTCCCTTCCTGCATTTCATCCCTAGGTGGTATCACTGTCTCAGCTTCTAACACTGTCTGCCCATTTTGTTCCTCACGCACATAAACAACCTCCTCCCCTCTAAGTCCTATTCCCTTTTCTGCGGTCTCCTGTACAGGAACACTGAGCACCTGAGGCATGTCCTGGTGCATACTCCCTGGCACACCTGGTTGGTTATCCTGTTGGATATCTCCTGGCACACCTGGTGGGTTATCCTGTTGCATGCCTTCTGGCACACCTGGTGGGTTATCCTGTTGCATGCCTTCTGGCACACCTGGTGGGTTATCCTGTTGGATATCCTGGTGCACATCTCCTGGCACACCTGGTGGGTTATCCTGTTGGATATCCTGGTGCATATCTCCTGGCACACCTGGTGGGTTATCCTGTTGGATATCCTGGTGCATATCTCCTGGCACACCTGGTGGGTTATCCTGTTGGATATCCTGGTGCATATCTCCTGGCACACCTGGTGGGTTATCCTGTTGCATGCCTTCTGGCACACCTGGTGGGTTATCCTGTTGGATATCCTCGTGCACATCTCCTGGCACACCTGGTGGGTTATCCTGTTGGATATCTTGGTGCACATCTCCTGGCACACCTGGTGGGTTATCCTGTTGCATGCCTTCTGGCACACCTGGTTGGTTATCCTGGTGCATATCCTGGTGCATATCTCCTGGCACACCTGGTGGGTTATCCTGTTGGATATCCTGGTGCATATCTCCTGGCACACCTGGTGGGTTATCCTGTTGGATATCCTGGTGCATATCTCCTGGCACACCTGGTGGGTTATCCTGTTGGATATCCTGGTGCATATCTCCTGGCACACCTGGTGGGTTATCCTGTTGCATGCCTTCTGGCACACCTGGTGGGTTATCCTGTTGGATATCCTGGTGCATATCTCCTGGCACACCTGGTGGGTTATCCTGGTGCATATTTCCTGGCACACCTGGTGGGTTATCCTGGTGCATATCTCCTGGCACACCTGGTGGGTTATCCACTGGCATATCCTGTGGCATACCCTGACCAGGCTGTGACAAGATCCTACTTTGACTGGGCATGACGCTTTCTCTGTCTATCCAGCAATCTGAAAAATAGCAAGGCAACACCTGTATATGATGTTGAGCATTTAGAGGTGAGGTAAAAGGAACTGTCACCTTGCATTCAAGATCATTTCACTTGCATAGCTATGTGCATGCAACCATGTGATGCTGCTTAATTGACTTTACACCATTTTACACTACACCCCTTTTAGACAGATTCAATATTAATAAATAATAATAATCCGAACGATTACAATAGGTCTCCTTGCCTTGAGGCATAGAGCCCCAATTATAATCACAAAATATATGGCCATAAAAACAAATACAGTGAAACCTGCCAACACCGGCCCCTGTCTAATCCGGTACACTGTTAAAACCAGCATAAAATTTTGGTCCCGCCATTTATTATGATCATTAAAACATTGTCTAGTCCAGCACCTGTCCATTCTGTATTCTAGTGCTACACCAGCATTGGTATGAGCAGTCCAATCAAGGTCCCTTAATCCAATATACTCCTCTGGCCACAATTACAAAAGATCAAAGGCATTATTGAAATAAAGAGATTGACGATGTAAATGGCAGCCATATTAGAAAATGCTAATCACTGTCTAATCAGGCACCTTGTCAAAACCGTCATTTTACTTTGGTCCAATGGGGTCTCGGTTTAGACAGGTTTCACTGTATTCTCGTTTATCGTTACTGCCCGACCCTAAAATTCCACCCAACCCTAAAATTTTCTTCTTTTTTTTTACACCAGAGAAAATGCAACTTTGAATCTCAAAATGTGCATGAATTTTCATACTTCTAAGAATGGATTTTCTAGCAGAAAAAAAGGTGTAAAATGTAAAAATAAAATCTGCCTGACCCAAATTTCTTGACCTGCCACATTCTAGACTTGCAAGGGCTTTCTTGGATATATTTGTTTCAGGGTCTGTATGACAGACTAAGTATATGCCTGAACACGACACATGGTAGGCTTGCACAAGTCTCTTAGGTAATAAATGATAATTTCTAAAAAAGACAATCTCTAACATGCTGGCATTCTTAAACTTGCACAAGCCTCTAAGGTAATAATTAATAGTTTAATTGATAAATTCTAAAAAGATAATCTCTAACAGTCTGGCGTCCTTAGTAATATCCGCTTTTCTAGACTTGCCTCTTAAAGGATAGAATTACTACACATCCTTGGGCTTAGCCTTCCATACAACCTTGGAGCAAGGCTAGGCACATGGGAGCAGCCTCCACATAGTTCTGTGTTTTGTGTAAAATGGCAGGCAGGTCAGGGACAAAGGGTCTTCAGTTTGTTTGAAAATGGACTTGATGTCACATCGGACCTATCATTGACAAGAAAATCTGCTGCAATTATACTGACTGACTGAGTTTGGTTTTACGCCGCTTTTAGCAATATTCCAGCAACATCACGGCGGGGAACACCAGAAACCGGCTTCACACATTGTACCCATATGGGGATTCGAACCCGGGTCTTCGGCGTGACGAGTCAACGCTTTTACCACTAGGCTACCCCACCGCTCCGCTGCAATTATAACCTAGCTAACATCACATAACTAGGCCAGTACTGGCATCGTTCTGGGACTCCTTTCACAAAGCACTTAGGTGATCGTAAGTCACTAAGGTAACCTTAGTGCAATATTAAAGAATGGCAGTTAAGGTTATCCTTAGCAGGGTTTAACACAGCTCTTCGAAACTGGGAGTCCTGGGGACTCAGGGCATATGTATTTTGAGAGTCCATTTCCAAAATTGGGAGTCCATCAATTTGCATGAAATCAATTATCATGGATGCTTACCATTTGTCGATTATGTTATAATATGTGTCACTTTAAATGTCATTAGAACAGGGATAGAAATACTTTCTTTTCGAGGTGTGCCTTAGCACCAGGCAAATATTTTAAATGTGCCTTTCAGAAATCAAGTGTGCCCACCTGTTTTTAGATTAAACGACTGTAGCAATGATGATGATCATTTGAAATTTGTTGTTAGGAAACAACAAATGTAACCTGTTTTCTGTTATCACTATTATGTCTTCTGTTTAAGATGGCTTTCTTAAGCTTCATTCGTTCTGTTTTCCCAAAACAGGTCTACTTGTTCAATATATCTAACAAACACAATGTCCTGCTCAATAACTGAACTATCAGTACACATCACTCTAAATGGACAAGCAACCAGATTTCTTTACATCATCTATCAGAATTCCAGTGATTTCCTGGGCGATAAAGTCAATAAATGTTTTGCTTGTTTGTTACTTGCGTTATTTATTTTGTTTTGGAGATTAAATGACTAAAGGTGAGTCATGTCTCTAAAAAATTAGGCATGCCATAAGGGCACCGAGGACATTTTTTATCCGTGCCATTTCAATATTTACCGTGCCATTGCATGCTAAAATAGGGGTATTTCGAACCCTGTTAGAATAATGATTGTAAACAGAATGTATATATTTTAAAATGGGATATCATTACAAACTCAGAAAATTCTTTCCCAGAAAAAAATTATATTGCGTCCACAAGGACGCACAGGAATTTAGTTTGGGGTACTTCATCAAATTTCTGCGTTCATTACGCAGGAATCATGCGTCCTGTAAACCCTGCCTTAGTAAAGGTTGCTTTATGAAAGGAGCCCTGGTTTTTACCGTTGGTACTGGCACAATGTACAACAGTATAGAGCCAGTACTGGACCAATACTTGTTTTCCGTTAGTGGCCTGTTACAGGCAAAACTGTAGTGGACCACATATGAGTGGTTACCCTAAATACTGCACCGCAATACTGTACCGGCCCTGTACTGGCCCCAGAGCTCCAGATAAGATTTAGCTCATGTGGGTACTGTACCCACTGTATTTTTTTGGTGTGGGTATTATGAATGTTGACTGGGTATTTCATTTTCTGTTATCCACAGCTTTCAAACATGTGCGTATTTCAGTCATTTTACTCACCTAAGTATTATGTCATTGAGTAAGTTTACTAAGCAGGTATGTTCTGCCTTGTGTCATACCTAATCAAAACCAACTTAAATATAATGGTAATGATTTCATAAAAAATCACTCATCCTGTACTGACAGTACAACACTAGTCCTATACTAATAGTACAACTTGATAACAATCGATGTCTTTTTCATTACGCAAGCGATTTTTTATAAATATATTCCGTACGCATTTGTTTTAAACATTTTGCGTATCTAACATTGTAAATGTGTAATTGGTACGCAACAATTATTTTTCAATGCGTAATTGGAAATTTTCTATGCATATTTTACCCGGATACTCAGCTTATCTGGGCCTCTGCTGGCCCAATACAGGCAGTTCACTTCCTGTCTGGTGAATTGTGGGAGATCATCAGAACCATGCCGTCTGCTCAAGAGAGGTGGCCAAAAAGTAGAATGTGACATTTTCCACATTTCTGAATGTAAATTGACTCACTGTGACATTAAAAATAACAGTATTTGGTGTAAATCACTTATAGAGACTACTTTTTCAACTAAGGTTAAGTGTTGAGATAAATTTGTAACAATAACATGCAGTATGAATTTCGGAGGGACAAGGGCATTTTGAAACATTTAGTATGTATGTCATGTTGTAAGATCATGATAACCTGTTCACATGCCTCATTCAAGAACATAAATTCAATACTATGGCCAAGATTATAGTGTTGTTTGATAATCGTGTCATACTGGACGACACGTCGAAAATTGAATCAAAAGTAAATGCAAATTTGAAAATATTTGAAGTTCAAAAAGAGACTGTATCAGATGAACTGAATTTTGAACAAGATCATCCAGAACAAAACAGAGTTGGTTATTCACATATGTTGGCAATTCTTGGAAAAAATACTGAACTAAGACGACAAGGTGCATGATGACAAAACTGAAATTTCTGAATCTGTTACAGTGTTAGTCTCGGTATTAGGGGTTTTCGACGATGTAAGACAAAAACGTAATTTTTATCTGTAATGTCATTTGAAGTTTCAATTTTACTAACCTTGGGTGATAAAGGATATATTCATCTATTTCACACAAAAATATCAAGTGTTTCCTACAAAAATAAGGTTGATGACATCGTATCGGCGAAACTGTTGCCATTCGCCACATCCGTGGATTTTGTATGGGTTTTCGACGATGAGCCATACTTTTCGCTCCGCACTGCGAGGGAGTGTTGTGATAACGTGGCTTTCTATGTAAATATTGCCTGTCACCAGCAGATGAATGATCTTACTGAATTTTCACTTGCTATTTTTGTTATAAAGGCAATTGATTTTGCATCTGAAGTGGTATGAACGATCTCGGGTAAATAATATTGATGCTTGTTTGCTTTTTAAACAACTTAACTTCCGGTTTTCAATTGTCAATACAACTTCTCACGACAGTGACTTGGCATCTGCCCTGCCGATGAAATTGCTTGTGCTCTACGATCGTGCACGTACTCCCCCGATATAGCGCCAGCAACACAATCACTGAAAAACACCAGAACGTTGAATTCAGCTCGCTTTGGGGTATGTTATGCTCGAGAAAAATGAACTCTGAATCAATGAAAGAATGATGCATTATGTTTTCATCTTGTTTCACGAATTAAATGAGCGAGCGAGTTGGGTTTTACGCTTCTTTTAGCAATATTCCAGCAATATCACGGCAGGGGAACACCAGAAATGGGCCTCTCGCATTGTACCCATGTGGGGAATCGAACCCGGGCATTCAGCTAGACGAGCGAACGCTTTAACCACTAGGCTACCCCACCGTCCCTATATGAATTAAACTCATATATTGATTAACTTGTGTTTTACATGTATACACAGTTTTCTTTCATCTTTCTATTGATTAGTTACCTGATTAAGCACCATAAGTACAAATTAATTTTAATCTATCCCATTGACAGCCATGTTAAACCTGATTGGTATCATCTAAGGTATTGTCTAAGTTGTTTACATAGTTGCAGTTTTCTGAATAATTATCGGAAAATTGAATGGAAATATTGTGCATGTAGCTGAGATGATTTCCCAGCTTGTAGATAAGTATTGAAAGCAATTTGACCGAAACTAAATTTATGAAAATTATTCTTGCAAAGGGTTAATTAACAAGTCAATGGAACTTTCTCTAATGATGACTCACTGTATAAACTGGGCCAGTGCCGGCCAAAGTTTAAAGGGCCAATGTGCAACCATTACGGCTGTGTACTGGGCCATACTACTTTGCCTGTACTGGTCCAGTTCAACGCCAATGTGCAAAATAGTACAGGCCCAGTTCCGTAATGTATTAAGTGGACCTGATTTTCTGACTTTACTGCGCCATTATTGGCTGAGTTACGTGATGTTAGCTGGGACGACCATATATACGACTTTCCCAAAGTGTTGTTATCTCCCTTTACATAATATTTTAGAATTATCTCCCTGAGCGTTGTCTTCTTCCGGTGAGTAGTTTCATCAAAATGGCGGAGAAAAAAGTGGCGTTAGCATTGTTCGCAGTGATGTAAATTTTGATTCAATGAACATGAAAGAACTTAGAACATACTTAAGAGACAGAAACCAAAAGGTAACAGGAGTTAAGGATCAACTCATAGCTCGTGCAAAGGTGCACATGCACTGAAATTACAGAAAAATACTTCTGTGGTTGGACAATCTAACAGCTTCTGGTACCCTCGGTATTTCTTTGTCAATAACATCAAAGCTTTGTGCGCCCAGTGGTTATCAGATGCCTGATCCTCTTTCATTAATTACTGGATGGAGCGATGATCTAGAGTTGCTGCCATTATTCACAGAGAGGGACATATACAATTACCTGGTATTGAGCACCCATCGAACTGTGGACAGTAAACCCATGAAAGCTATTCGTCAACTCAAGGCAGCGATATTTTATGAAGACCGGCGCGTCCACAGCATAGCTGTTCACGGTATCTCTGGCGACTGTGACCATCTGTTTGTCAGATGTTTAGTTATACCATCTCTACCAACAACAGATAAGAAGAGTAATCCTGACCATCACGTCTGGGTCTGCCTGTCTAAAGTAACAGGCCATATCAACTCTGCTTACTGTACCTGTGCAGCTGGGTAAGTTTTCAGAGTATTTCAGATAAACATGAATCACTTTACAGTTCCCTGATAGTAGATAAATTCGTTGTGGTTTTTGGTTTTTGTTTGTTTTTTTGTTTTTACACCTTCGTTTAAATCTAAATATATATATCTTGATGAAGGATGGCATTACATAACTGTAATTAGATCTTGATTAGGAGAAACATATTACATGCTAATAATTTGTACTGATAATCTGTTTATTCATTGTGTATTATTGTCTAAAAGGTTTGCAGTTAACATTATATTCTTCTTATTAGTGTTCACTGATGGATTTATGTCTAGGATGGGTAATATGAGTCAACTAAACACTGAAAGCACAAACTTAATTACTATTCTTTTACAGAGCTGGAGAAGCCTGCAACCATGTCTCTGCTCTGCTCTATGCCTTGGTGGATATATCACAGAAGAAGGAAGCAGGACAACTCTCGTGTACCTCTACCAAATGTAAATGGATGATCCCTCAGCGATCGAAAAGCTTGCTCCTTTGACCGCCCGACGACCTACATCTAATGTCAAGTGGGAGAAGGAGTGTATTAAAGAGGAAAAGAGAAGAAACTAACTGCACAGTAACGTCTTCATATATTGATGAACCCTGTGATATGTGTCCCAATACAGGTATGCCCAAAACAAGCATAAATGTGGACCGATTTAGGAAAAAAATTAATAAGTAATGAAAACAAAAAGAAATGTGGATTTGTAGTCACAACAGGTGTAGTAAATGATGAAGGGCAGATGGATGATGTAAGACTTCCACAGTTACATGCACCACCAGTTGACTTTTGCTTTTGTGATAGTGTTGATCTTTCCTCTCAGAGTTGTCAGAATGTGTTTGAAAATTATGCTGAAACTATCAAAGTTACTGAAGAAGAGTCAACAATTATTGAGAGCATTACTAGGGGACAACAGAAGCAGGAGAATTGGAAGGAGGCAAGGAAAGAGAGGATAACAAGTTCTGATTTTGGCAGCGTTTGTCTACGGAGATCCACTACTGAACCAGATAGACTTGTCCACCATGTTCTGGGTTACGGTAAAGATTTTTCATCAGTTCATACGAGATGGGGCACTTCCCATGAGCCAGCTGCTCGACAACTATATGTTCTCAGGATGACTAAAGACCATCCTAATGTTAGGGTAAACATTGTAAATCCACAGTATCCCTATTTGGGAGCTAGTCCTGATGGCCTGGTGTCTTGTGTTGACTGTGAAAAGTGCTGTTCATTATATGGACTACTTGAGATCAAATGTCCCTCGACACTCAGGGATCTTAAACCACAAGAGGCTGCTTCACAAACGGATTTCTTTTGCAAATTGGATGAAAATATGAACTTGAAACTTAAAGAAAATCACCCCTATTACTTTCAAGTTCAAGGTCAAATGGCTATTGCACAGAGAGAATGGTGTGACTTTGTAGTTTGGACACTGAAGGGTATTTCAATTCAGAGAATTGCATTTGATAAATTGAAATGGGAGGAAATGTTTCAAAACTGAAGCGTTTTTATGTGACAGCAATTGTGCCAGAACTCTTCTCCAGGCGAGTGCATCGTGGACTTAAACTGTACTAATTATCTTCACAAGTATTACACCAAGTGACTTATTACTGATTGAAAATATTTGAAAATATTCTCAAATCATGATATTGTAATAATTATCATCATGTAACAACTTTCATATTCATATTCATATATTGTTCCAACGAATTTTTAGAATTTCACATTATGCAGAACTACATAATAGTACATATATCGTCAATAGAACATACATCAACAGTGACAAAATTGAGTTTTTTTAGTCAAAGGGCGGATAACTCCAGTGATTACCGTAAAGGGACATGGAAAATCTTCATTATTTCAAATATAAAGCTGCAAAAAGATAAGAAAAGTTGATGATATAAATTGATGTATGAATTTATTTCTTTTAACATTTGTTGGAGTATAAAGCCTTTATTAAAGGCCTTTGATGATATTTGGTCATTACATTTGTACATTGTTTATGAATGATGAAACTTGTCATAATGTGCACCACTTGTACATTGTTCTGCCTCAATTTGTACATAAATAAAACATTTCAGTAAATACAACTATATGTCATTTGTACAATTAACATAATTAAAGATGATCAGAAGTTACTTTTACATGAGCTTCTTGGAAATAAGATAGATTATTATTACTGAAAGAGTTCAGTTATCCCAACATTAAGAAAAATGAGTGAGTTTAGTTTTACACAGCTTTTAGCAATATTCCAGCAAAATTCACAGCAGGGAACACCATTAATGGGCTACCCATGTGGGGACCGAAACCAGGGGTCTTCGTGGCGAAAAACACTTTAACTTCTAGGTTACCCACCACCCCATGAAAAGCAAGCATTCAGTCATTTCTTGGGAATGAAAAATATCATCTCAGACTAGATTGATTACACTATCAATGATAATCCCAGTATTCATAATAAACACCTTATCTTGCAAATAATCAAGCATTTTCATCAAACACATGTACATCAATTGTATCAGAATCCTGGTTATGGGGGTACAAAGGTGGTAGTAATGTTGTCAATGCATTGCAGATTTTCCATATTTTGTTCACAGAATTGGAAATAGTTATGGGAATGATACCTTGTAATATTCTGAAATTTTTTACTCTTTCCATGTGTCTCTCTACATGGATTCTCAAATTTGCAATTCGTCTAGTTTTCTGAATTTCTTCCAATGTCAATTGCTTTCTTTTACGTTTTAATGGAGGGATGATTAAGTGTAATCCTTTAGGGGTAGTTAAGTCAGATATTAGAAATCCTTTATCAGCCATTACTGCATCTCCAAACTCACACAAGTTTAATATACCTGATTCTATAGTAATCTGTCTGTCACTTATAGCTCCAGACCATAAATCTGACACAAAACTGACTACACCATTAGGAGTAATGCCAATTAAACCTTTTAATGTAATATGGCTTTTATAGTGACTATACATCTGTGATTGTCTTGCTACTGAATAAGGCTTCTCAATGAATATTTCTGTGCAATCTATTACAACCCGTGTTTGTGGGTATATATCCTTGAATCCTTTTGGCATAGTAGCATCAATAATGTCTCGTTTTGGCCAGGAAATCAGAAATGACAGATTTTTGTACATGAGATCAATCCATCTGTTAATTGTCCGAGGCACATGTTTGTTCTGGAAACATGGAAACGGTTAGCTATATCTACAACTAAAAGCCCAAGTCGAAGTCTCATCAATAACATAAAAAACTGATCTATTAGTGACAATGAGTTTGGTCTTCCAAACTTTGATGATGGATAATCTCTCTCATAAGCTTCAGACAATTCGTCAAAAATACATGAAAATGTATTTCCATCTCCTAATCCTGTGTAAAGTTAACTAGCTCAGGATCTGTCTTTATATCTGCAAATGTGAGTGATGGTAGCAACACCTGTGTACTTTGCTCACAAGTCTGAGAGTGAAGTCTGTTTGTGTACAGGCACTGGTCTGCTGTGGTGCTGATGGCTTTGCCCTGACTAGAGATGGCTTGAAAGAAACCTTCATCTGTCTGAGTAGAAGTGGAACACTTCTGTACGGATGCAGTCTGACAGGATGCATTTCTTTGTGATGAAATAGTGTTCTCTGGTATGGGCCCACAGTAGTCATGCAAGAACACAGAAAGCTTGTCAAAAGACCTGTTGATCAAGTAAATGGAATTAGGAGATAATACAGGCTAAATAAAGGTAATATGTTTAACAACATGTGTTCTTTTACCCAATTTGAACAAATCGCATTGAAAGAAAAAGAATTGTGTTTACTAGTTTACACTGGTTAATGTTAAGTCATAATAAGCAAAATAAAAGTGGTTACATCAACAAACCTTTCATTTTGATGAATGGTTGTTTGGTTGTCTTCACCATCATTGGTGTTGGCTGCACCATCTTCCTCTTTGACAGCTGTCAGAGCCATGTCAGTTCCATCAGTTATCTGTTCAAATTAGTGTTTTTCTTGGTTAGATTCTGACAATGAATATTAATGTCCTCTTCATGAAAATAACTCAATATAAAGTTACAGTAAAAACAATGTTCACAATAAAAAGAAAAACAGAAATAATTTTATGATTTTTTTTTAGAGCACTGATAAGATTATCATACTATTTTTAAGCTACCACTTATAATAAAACCTAATGAAAATTTTGATTCAATTCATTTAATTTAAACAGATTTTTTTCAGGTAAGCATAAAATCGTAGTTTGCTATTTTCCATGGGTTGCCTGCAAACCAATCTACACTGAAAATTATCATAATTATGTTCATAACTGGTCCTTTGTAACTCGAACTAAATGCTAGTAAAAGGAAATATTTCAAAATCATTTCGTTATTTATCAATTCTACTGTAAACAGGACATTTACATGTAAAGTAACTTACTGAACTACTGCTGAAACTCTTGTTCGGGAAAAGTGATGGTATGGTGATCTCTGAGGAAGGTCCATAATCCCTCAAAATGATCAGAGCACACCCTAGTGTGTTTACTAAAAGAAAATCTTTTCTCACAAGTCGTAATCAGCGAAGCCATGCTTATCTTAAATCCTTCCTCAGTGGGACAGAATGGAGGGATATCGTCCGGGAACCGAGTTGTTTACCCCGGTGATTTTTACATATGCAGCAGTATTGCTTCCCCATTTCAGTAACGTCAAGTCACGGCAATTTACTCACCGGAAGCGCTATC